TTGCATTAAATTAATGCTAATTTTAATGCTATTCTTTTTTTTTCTTTTTGGGTCACACCCGGCGATGTACAGGGGTTCCTCCTGGCTCTGTACTCACGAATTACTCCTGGCGGTGATCAGGGGACCCTATGGGATGCTGGGAATCGAACCTGGGTCAGCCACGTGCAAGGCAAACACCCTACCAGCTGTGCTATCACTCCAGCCGCAAAGCTGTTCTTGAGTCAGGTATGATTCTCTTTTAAGGGTTCTTTGTTTCCTTCCAGTCTTTATGATGTTGTCTTTAGATTTTTTTGTTTTGGGGTCCTACCCAGTGGTGCTTAGGGCAGACTTCTGGCTCTGCACTCAGAGACCAATTCTGTCAGAGCTCAGGGGACTACTATATGGGATGCCAGGGATCAAACCCAGGCTGGCAGCGTGTATGGCAAACCCCTACCTGGTGTGCTACTGCACTGGCCCCATGTTAGATGCTAGCTCTTGATTTTTATCAGTTGAAGAAGCTTTCCTTCATATTCCTACTTTCCTCATAGTACTCTCTCTCTCTCTCTCTCTCTCTCTCTCGGTAAGGCAGAGGTAAGATTCACATACCATAAAATTAACTATCTAAATTGAATTCACTGATATTTTAATACTGTATTTTACTGTACTTTTTGTGCTGCTGGAATCAAACCCACCTGCAAGGCATATGCTCTAACATTGAGCCACATCCTGTTTACATTCACAATGCCTGATAGCTACCATCTAGTTCCTAAACATTTTCATTATCCTGAGAAAAACCCTATACTCAATTAAGCAGTTGAGCCTTTCTTCCTCCCCTCAACCACTGGCAACCACCAATCCTGTGTCTTTCCTCTTCCTGGTGTGCTATTCTCATAGGTCACAAGATATTCCCTTCCTAATTCCCATCAGATATTCCTCCACTCTCATTGCTTCACAGAGGCCTACCCTACCAAATCTTACTATTTTGTGGTGCCAGGAATCAAACCCAAGGGCCTCACACATGAAAGGTAGGCACTGATTACTGAATTTTGTCTCATTTTATTTTCTTTTTTGGGTCTATACCAAGTGGTGATTATGGCTTAACTCCTGGCAGTACCAGGGATCGAAACTTGAGCCAGCTGCATGCAAGACAAGCACCTTAATTAAGACCCATACAAACTCTCCAGCCCTCAGACTGGACTATAAATTTTTAATGACTAGCTCTGAAACTCCACTAAGTCTCCTTTTTCTCTCCAGTAGTAATCTGAACCTAACGTATGGATTTATTTTATTAGTAAGGCGGGGGCACACCTGGCAGGGTTTACTCCTGGCTCTGCACTCAGGAATCACTACTGATGGAACTCAGGGGACCATATCGGATGCCGGAGACCAAACCCACATTGGCTGCATGCATAGCAGGCACCTTGTATACTGTACTCCTTCCTTGGCCCCTATAATTGTAATTTTTATTTATTTTTGGCCATACCCAGTGTGCTCAGGGCTTACTCCTGGCTCTGTGCTCCTCCTGGTGGGCTCAAGGGATAACATGGGATGCCAGGGATCAAACCTGGGTCAGTTGTGTGCCAGGCAAACACGCTACTCGCTATACTATTGCTCCAGAACCCTACTGATTTATTTTCTATCGTCTATCTTCCCCCACTGAAATCCAAGCTCCACAAGGGCAGATATTTCAGCTTGTCTTTCTTGCATGTAAGTCTTGGTGACTATATATTAAGTGCTCAATAGTATTTGATGACCATTTAAACAAAGTGCAGGGTCAGAGAGTTAGCTGAATGTGCTAAACACATGCTTTGCATGAAGATTTGATCTCTGGCCCTGCATGGTCCCCTGAGCACTACCAGGGAGTGACCCATGGGCATGGAGATGGGACTAGTGTAGGACAGCATGAGGTGTGACCTCTCAAACCCCCGCCGCCCCAGCTACGAAAACTATCACGAAACAAAAAAGGAAGGTCCAAAGAGGTGTTTTGCCAAAGTGTGACTAAAAGGAGCAAGAAACAAAATTTCTGTCATTTAGATAGGATTTTTTTCTAGCGGCAGTGGACTGAAACCAAGACAATTATACCTTTTAACTGTAACCCAAAAGCACAAATGAACCCAAACAACTGTGAGCGTGGGACCCAAATGACAATTAACCTAAAGATGTGTTTGCCACAGGTTGGGGAGTGGGTTGTGTTGGGGGAACTTGGGATCATTGATGGAGAAATACAGACACCAGTGGTGGGGTTTGAGTTAGAACACTGTGCCCCTGAAACTCTACTGTTAAGTTTGGTAAATCGTGGGCCTACAAAAAAAGCAAAACTCTGTGAGACAACTATTTATTTGAAGGGGGAAGAGTCCTACACTCAGCAGAATTTAGGGATTATACCTAAGTGTTTGGAGGTCACCAAAACATTTTCATTCTTAGCTAATTGAGCTAACTCTGTCTCTGAGATGGCTATTTCTGAATCAGGTCAAAGAACTATTTATAGTGGCATGAAGGTAAAAGGATTAGACTGTCAAGTTAAAGCCTATTAGCACAAATTAAAACTACCTAAGGCTGGAGAGATAATACAGGAATTAAGTAAGGCACTTTGGGCACAGGTAGATTCTGCCAGGCACTGCATATGATCCACTTAATACGGTCCCCATAGGACCAGCTGGATTAAGCTCTGAGTACTGCAGGCTGTAGACTACCTACCTTCGCCCGAGTGGGAAAAGTCCTCAACTGTCTATATTAAGCAAGCTCAGTTCCGTGTAAAATGTTTTAAAGGTCTGACTCACAGTATAGCAGGTAGGGCACTTGCCTTGAACATGGCCAACCCAGGTTTGATTCCTGGCACCACATACGGTCCCTCAGCAGAGGCAGGACTAATTCCTTAGTGCAGATCCAGGAGTAAATAAACGTCAAGTACCACTGGGTGTGGCCCAAATCTCAAGCACAGTGATAGGGCGTTTGCCTTGTGCGCAGCCAGCCCCGACAGAGCCAGGTTTGATTCCTCCGCCCCTCTCAGAGAGCCTGGCAAGCTACTGAAGAGTATCTTTCCCGCACGGCAAAGCCTGACAAGCTACCCATGATGTATTCAATATGCCAAACACAGTAACAAGTCTCAAAATGGAGATGTTACTGGGCCTGCTCGAGCAATTTTTTTTTAACATTTTAAAATAACACTATACGGGTAGGGCATTTGCCGTGCATGCGGCCGACACAGGTTCGATTCCCAGCGTCCCATATGGCCCCCCAAACACCTCCAGGAGTAATTCCTGAGTGTATGAGACAGGAGTAACCCCTGTGCATTGCCGGGTGTGACACAGTAATAATAATAATAATAATAATGATGATGATGATGCTATAGGACACAGGACTTGGTGAGTACTATAAACCTAATACTATAAAAATTACTGCATGCTGGGGCATATAATTCAGTAGCTTACAATGTTTCACATGTATTGGGTTCCAAGTTCAATCTGCAGCACCTGATGGTCCTGTGAGCATGGCTAGGCATGTCCTGGTGGGCCCCAGCAAGCTTTGAACCATTCTACTTGCACAGTGAGTAGATCAGACAACCACTGGGAGTGGCACCTGGGCCCCCGAACACTGCTTGGGAAACGACCCAATTAAAAAAGAACCTATGTTAAAACAAGAAAAAATCTGCCCAAACCTTTAAAACTCAGTCTATATCACAGTTTGAGTTTTGTTAGTTTAAAATCAATTTCTAAAGGGTTATGGGACCTATGGCATTGGTGAAAGGACACTAACACTGGTGGTGGTGCAGACTAGGAACAATATATGCTTAAAACTCTATTACTGAAAGTATTGTTTATTTTTATGCCACAAATGGGTGCAATCATTCTGTCTATCCCTCTCTCTGATTCATTTTACTCAGGGAGATACTCTCAATATCCATCCATTTATAAGCACATTTTATGACTTCATTTGTCTTAGTGGATGCATAGTATTTCATCGTGTATATGTACCATAGTTTCTTTATCTAATCGTCTGTTCCTGGGTACTTCGGTTGCTTTCAGATTCTGCCTCCTGTTAATTGTGCTACAATGAACATAGATGGTGGTTCAACTGTGTGTGATTACTCTGGGTAAGAACCAAGTGCTGAAAATTGTTGAAGGGACAAACATGATAACCTTTCAGTACCTGTAGTACAAATCAAAAGGAGAAAGTGAATGAGCAAGGGGGGTGGACGTGTCTGCCAGACAGGCTGGCTGGGGGCAGGGAGGGAAACTGGTGAAGGGATGGGTGCTGCAATACTTTATGACTGAAACCCAATCACAAACAACTTTTTAGCTGTGCTCTGAAGTGAAGAAGTGGGGGATAAATCTCATCCATGATTGAGTTAAATGACTTCAGTTTTTACAACAGAGGACCAGGGAGACGGTTCAAAGAGCTAAGTGCAGGCTTTGCATGTGGCAGCCCTGGTCTGATCTCTGGTTCTCCAGTGACACCTGAAGCAGCACTAGGTTATCTCCTGAAGACCAAAATAAGAACCACAATGAGATTCTTTAGAATTCAACTAATTAGGAACTGGGGCTGTCGTTTAGCACAAAGTGCTTGCCTTGCATGTATGAGGTCCTGAATTCAATCCTTGGTACTGCAAACAGAAACAAAATGGCAAGATATACTCAACAGATAATGAAGAGGCATTCTTAAGTTTCTAAGGCTAAGTAACCAGGTTTCCATGTAGGAAGCAAATCCATGCTCCTAGTTTTATGATAAAATTTATAGATATGAAAACGATAGACACAGAATAATCTCTCATATGTGGTATTTAAAGGTACACAGCAAGGTATTGACAAAGGTCCAAAGGCAACGTAATAGGAATACTGATCCACACAATTCAGTTGGAGGTGACTTGAGGGAGGGTGTTGGGATCCTTGCGAGAAGGTGGGTACGCTGGTGATAGGTGTAGTATTGGAATATGTGGATGAGAAACCATTATTAATAGTAGGGTAGACCACAGATATCAATAAAGACAATATACAGCTCTATACAAAATTATTAGAAAATAATTCATGAAGCACTTTAACAACTTTTATTAAAAAAATAACATCGAAACTGTCCAGCAAATCTATACTCAATGTAACCAAAATAAACAAACACGAAATTAAAAAAAATATACATCTATATATATATGGGCAAGAAACAAGTGCTTTTTTTTGGTCCCAATATTTTGTGAATATATTATCTTTATCCAAGGGAACTACATTAATGGCTAAGAGATATTATGTATTAGATGTACAGAAATGTAACTTTAAAACTTTTTAAGGTGTGTGGGAAGGTTCTGCCAATTCTCTGTTTTTGGAACTCAATTACTAAGGTAAAGTTGGTAATTTTAATATAGAGGATGTAATAATATCCAATGTTATGAGCATTAAGGGGAGTTACTGATACATAAAATCTGTAGAGAATTTTAAGAAATTCTTTAGAGTTGTAAGAGAAGAAATAAAACGGACGTAACAAAACAGACATCAATAATTTTGGTGAAGATCAACATAAAAAAACACGATAACAAACTTAAAAAAATTGACTACTAGTATAGCTGAAAACTCCTAAAGTTAATACTGGATAAAACTTCAAACAACAGTACAAATAACTGTAGCTTTGGAACTGTAATTTTAAAAACTTGTTTTCCAAGAATACAAAAGTAAGCTTGGTTCCCTACACAACCAGTTGGACTGCATGCATGCTAGAAAGATTAAAAAGCAGCAGTCAAAAAGATTAAACTTCAACTTACAGGTTGAAGAACTTTTCTCAGTCAGTATCTACCCATAAACCCATTAGAGATCAATAACCAAAGCCCCCCTGGGCAAAGTTGTGCTCAATTTGATGGGCCTTGAGGTTATCTCTGGCCAAATTGGCATTAGCCTTATGGGAGGCCAGTCATGAAGAGACTCTCCCCAAAATCTGATTTCTTAAGGCCACAACCTAGAGGAAGTCTCACAGTCAAATAATTCACATTCCTTGGAAAGAGAAAACAGGCATTAGCTGTGTCCAGGAGGACACTGGCCAGGAGTACCCTGACCATTTTTTTGAAAACTCTGCGTTTCTTCTGAGAACAGACGAGGGATGGGGGAAAAGACAATCAATCAATCACATGACCCAAACACGTACAATATAGAAAACGCACAGAGAAAAAGATAAACAGCCATATTTTTTGGAATGCAATATTCTGAAGGCAAGTCAGCAGTGAAAACCACAATTATTTTAGCAAAGCGAGAAAAGGCCATAGCAAGGAAAGCTTTTTCTGGAGTCCACTTCATATACTAAGATACAGTAACCTGACACAAAGATAAGGTGGAATAAGAATCTAGTGTCATCTGAGACCTAAAGAGCTAAATAATGAGAGATAGTGTCGTGAACTTGACTGTTTTAACTGCTTTCTTCTGAGGAAACACTTCAGAACTCTGAACTTAGGAACCGTCAACTTAGGAAACTGCATGTGAGTAAGAAAACACTTCAGGACTTTGAACTAATTCCAACTTGTCTTGCACCAGGTTGCACGAGCTCCATAGAGCAGGAATCTTATTTCAAATGCATCTTTAAAAACAGAAAAAAAAATTATTATTTTTGTATTAAGAATTCATTAAAAAAATTCAACAGTGCTAAAATTCATCCAAAATGCACTAAAAAATTAAACTTACTCTTAGCTGGCTTCAGAAATGGAAAATACCACGACGAACTGAAATTGTAAGCAGTTTCCATTAAAAAGTAGCATACACAATGAGTAAGACTATCGATTTAATAGTAAGAGCAAAGATTGAGACTAATCGAAACACTAAAATACCAGTAAAGTAAAATGATTTCATATACATACCTCTTTCCTCAATGACTTGGCAGGTGTGATTTTTACGCTGGCTTAAGTGTTTAGCCATGAGATCCAAACAAGAAGAATGAGCTAGGAAATCACATTTAAGGCACACCAGAGTCATGGCCCTATGGAAAAAGAAGACAGAAAATAAACTTTTTGGCGGTGGGCACACCCAGCGGTGCTTGGTGCTTTACTCCTGGCTCTGCACTCAGGGATCACTCCTGGAGGTTCTCAGACCACATGGGCTGCTAGTGATTGAACCCACGTTTGCCATATGCAAGACAAGCGCCCTACCCACTGTACTATCACTCTGGCCTCCCAAAGAAAAGTATTTTATTTTATTTTATTTTTTTTGCTTTTTGGGTGACACCCAGCAATGCACAGGGGTTACTCCTGGCTCTGAGCTCAGGAATCATCCCTGGCGGTGCTCAGGTGCTCAGCCCTACCCGCTGTGCTATTGGCTCCAGCCCCAAGAAAAATATTTTATCTTCCACGTAAAAACTTTTGATTTGCTTATAGTGTATTGTGACTTTCCCGCCCCAATTTTGTCAGACATATCTTTTTCAAGCACCATTTCAGCAGTTAAAGTAATACAAGACTCGTAGTAAGTGCAATGAGAGTTCTGACTTCAAAGACTACTTATCAGAGGTTACTCAGTTGGAAGTTAAAGCATGAATAAAAGGGCAGAGGAACCAAGAATATAAACCAGTGGCAGAGCATATTTCTTTCATATGTACGCTATTGTTATTGTAGATGCAGGAGCAAAGGAGGGTTGGAAAGATAGTAACATGGGTGGGCACTTGCCTTACATGTAGCTAACCCGAGTTTGATTCCCAGCACCACAGATGGTGCTCCATGCCCTGCCAGAAGTGATCCTTGAACACAGAGCCAAAAGCAAGTCCTGAGCACCACTGCGTGTGGCCGCCCAAATGAAAGAGCAAACAAAAAGAGGTACTTTTGGTGGACTCTACAACCTACTACCTTATTTAAGTGATAAGAAAACTAGAGAAGAAACTGTAAGGCTTTAAAAATAAATCATGGGGACTGGCGCAATAGTACAGCAGGTAGGGTATTTGCCTTGCATGTGGTCGACCTGGGTTTGATCCCCAGTATCCCATATAGTCCCCTGAGCACCACCAGGAGTCACCCCTGGGCATCGCCCGGTGTGACCCAAAAAGCCAAAATAAAAAATTAACTAAAAATAAAAATAAATCATGTAAGAGCTGGAGTGATAGTATAGCAGGTGGGTCGTTTGCCTTGTATGTGGCTGTTCTAGTTTTGATCTCCGGCACCCCATATGGACCCCCGAGTCTGCCAGGAGTGATCCCTGAATGCAGAGCCAAGAGTATGATCTGAGCACTGCCGGGATGATCCAAACCATTCCCTGATTACATACTGTAATTATTGCTATTAACAAATTCTGTATTATTGTTATTAACAAATTCTAAAGTTCATTTTAAGTAGAAACTGGTACTTTATCTTAGGGGAATAAAAACCAGTAGCATGCCTTACTTAGACTGATTCCTCCCTAGCAGCTTTATTTTCTGTTGCCTGTTGTCTATTTATACCTACATGCCACACTGGCACATGAGCTTCACAGGCTGGAGAGACAGCTCAAAGTGCTGTAACACATGTTAGAGCCCTGGATTCAATATGTGACACTCCATGGTTCCCTAACAATCTCTGAGCCCCACTAGGCGTAAAACTTAAGCCTCATACTTTCTGCCCCACCCTTGAAATTCCTCCCAGCTGTTGTCTCTCTGAGGTGGGCTACTTGGGGGACTATGTGGTGTGAAGGTTCCAGCAAGAAAAACATACATTATTTCTAACTTCTTCCTTGGACTTTAGCGATAGCACAGTGGGTAGGGCATTTGCCTTGCACGCAGCCAACCCGGCCGACCCGGGTTCGATTCCTCTGCCCCTCTTGGAGAGCCCAGCAAGGTACCTAGAGTATTTCGCCTGCATGGCAAAGCCTGGCAAGCTACCCATGACATGTTCGATATGCCAAACACAGTAATAACAAATTTCACAATGAAGACATTACTGGGCCCGCTCGAGCAAATCGATGAACAATGGGAGGACAGTGACAGTGATAACTTCTTCCTTAAAACAGTCAATATTTCAAACATTTTAAGATATCAACCACTTACTGAATACTCTATGAAAACTGTGCAATTTATTTAAAATTTATTGCATCACAGTGAATTACCAAGTTACAAAGTTATTCACGATTTAGTTTCAGGCCTACAAGGTTCCAAAACCAATCCCTTCAACAGTGTCCACCTCCCTCCATCAATGTCCCCAGTTTCCCTCCAACCCGTGTCCTGCCACTATGGCAGGCACTTGCCCCTTTGCAATACTGTTGCAATACAGTGGTTTGCAATACTGTTACTGACAGTGTATCACTCATATCATTTTACTTCCTTTCAGCATCCAGGTTAGATTGAGCAGTCTAGATTAAATTTTATAATAATCCAAAGGATAGGTGCTATAATTTAATCACTTCTTTTTACAGAGGGTCAGATTTATATCCGACTGATAGAACTAAATAAACTGAACTGAAACTGGGCCCTTGAATTTAAGTCCCCCCCACTTTTTATGGGACGAATGTGTGAGTGTGTGTGCGTGCATGCATTGGGAGGGATTTAGGATTATACTTGGCCATACTCTAGCCACTTCTGGCTCTGTGCTTAGGGGTCACTCCCAGCAGAACTCAGACTATGAGTTAGCCTGGCGCTACAAAGATCTTGACACTAGAATTTCAAACAGCAATGACAACATGAGCAAAGTAACTTGTTTAGGGAAGACACAGTCAAAGGATTCAGAAGAATGTGGAAAATAGGATGCTTAAAGTAAGGGGCTGGAGAGACAGTGCAGGAGTTAAGGTGCTTGTCTTGCATGTAGCCTGACCCTGATTTGATCCCAGGGTCAAAGTAGTACTAGTCTCAAGTACCACTAGGAGTGATATCTGAGCACAAAGCCAGGAGTAATCCCAAAGAAGCACCCAGGTATAGTCTAACTCCTTACCCACTCACTCCCCCAAAATCCCACAAAGATGTTTTCAGGAATCTGAGTTAGTTTGTATTATCAATTATCAATTACTTTGTAATGTTATTTTTTCCTCTATGGTACAGAAGTTGCGCATTGTACATTTTTATTTCAAAAGTAAAAATAAAAATAATTAGTCTATATATTGATCAAACTAAATAGTAGGCATTTTATATCTTAAACCTCTTTTTAATATTTAAATTATTGTTGGGGGAACTTATTTATGCATAAAACAAATATTTTTCATCTTTTTTTCAGTGTTTTGGTAACACTCAGCTGTGTTTAGGGCTTGCTTCTGGCTCTGTACTCAGAGGATCACTCCTGTGGTGCTGGGGACTAAAGCCAGGTTGGCTGCATGCAAGGTAAGTGCCCTACCTGCTGTATTATCACTTCAACCTGAAATTTTCATCTCAGTGCCTAATATCAATGAACGTTTGATGAGAGAATAGACTACCATACCCCTTTTATCTAAAAGTAAAGAATGAATAAAATTCTAATAAGCAATCACCATTTAATTTTCTAGGCACTCAAGCATCAGGCTGGACAAAAGTTACAATTAACAGAGAATGGAAAAAGATTGACTAGTTACCTGAACGCTCCAGGATGCTTCCTAAAGATATAAAACCGCTTACTTGGAGGGTTGCTGTGAGAACTAGATAAGAAACAAGAGATTTTATTATTATTTTATAACTTATATTCTATTACTTTTATAACCATATTTCAAGTCGATTAGTTTCTAAGTTTGCAATTAAAACATTATCTAAATCATAGAATTCTGTTAGTAAACTCTGGTTAATTCAAATTCTTAATATTATACTCTATTTCACATCTGTATTTTCTAATATTCTTAGATAATCAGTAGTACCCTTTTAAAAACCCTTAAGTGAAAATGCAAAGAGCATGAAATGTAATGTTTTCAGCTATCAGGAATTGAAAACAATTTGAAGGTGATTGCTAATATTTTGCTATAAGACAAATTGTCATAGATAAGAATTACCTAATTGTAATGTACTCAGGGTGGGGAGAATCTGAATGATTCTCAAAGCAAATGCTACATGAGCTAAATAGCATTACTTACCATCAGTAAAAGGAAACATTTAAAAAATCCTTTGTAAGAACTAGGAAAGATTCAAAAGAAAGTGAACGAAAGAAAGCAAAGCTCATGAGTTAAAAACCAACACTTCCTTTATATACAGAAAACCACTAACCAAATTTCATAGCCAATGGTAACAGCTTTTACACTTCCCCTTCAAATTGATAAGGAAAGCTTCCTGTTTTAGAAAACAGGATTGGCCAGAATTAGCAGGGCACAGTATAACTCAAAAGTGTATTCCACTGGCCCAAAAGCACCTATATCCACTAGGAGCTAATTAAATATACAAACTCTCAGGTCTGATGACTCCAGACCTGAATTAATTCTCATGGGGCTACAGAAACCAGTGTTAGTATTTTTCGGACTGCCTGTATGCAAGATAAAGTTTGAGAAGCACCGAGAGCAATAAACCTGTCAATACATGAAGTTAATGGTTGCTGTTACACAAAAGGTAACTATATTCAGTGTATCATGCATCACAGGACAAGAAAGATTCTAATTAGCTATAAATTTCAGGAAAATATCCTCAGAGTAGGTTGTCATGGTGAAAGCAAGAAAATCTTCTCTGAGATAAGAGAGACACATATTTAATATAAGGAAGAACTCAAAGAAAGGGTGATTCCTGTGAGTTGCTATGATGCTTCATAGAAGGAGGTAACAGAAGGCAAGAGGGGGGGCACTCCAAGAAATCATAATAAGAAAAAAACCACTTCATGTATATTTTCTCCATCATATAGAGTTTGTGTCTATGACACAAAGTCCACACTGGGTAGGAACAAGGGACATGATGCACTACTAAATTACGGGAAATGCAGAAATAGAGACCTGCAAGTTCCTTAGAAAAGAAATGGGTACTTTCAGCTCTCTAGGAGGGGAATAGAAAGTACTGAGAGTTGTGTGAGATCACAACGAAGCCTTTGGGCTCACTAAAGTTGGGAAGTAGTTATGAACAAAGTCTCAAACCAATCCAAATGTTCTAGGATTAAATGAGGCTGGAAGTCCTACAAAAGAATTTAAAAACAGGAGAAAGGAGGACAGAATTAACCCAAGGCTTGAAAATAATTTTCTAATTCAATATATTATAAATCATGGGGAGAATTAAGGCCCTTTTGGGCCAGACACGTGTTTGACAAGGATTAGAGGTTAAATTCATCTGAGTGATTTATGGAGATTGGCTGGAATCTGGTTTAGAGCAAACCATGGCACGGATGCAGAACTATCACAGTAACTGGGAGGCAGGATGGTTGGATTCTCAAAGATGCCATGGCAAATGGTGAGAAATCAAAAGAACTTCACAGGGTACCGGAACAATAGTACAGCAGGTAGGGCGTGTGTCTTGCACGCGGCTGATCTGGGGCTCATTCCCAGCATCCCATATGGTCCAGAGCATTGCCAGGGGTAATTCCTGAGTGCAGAGCCAGGAGTAACACCAGTGCATCACTGGCTGTGACCCATCCCCCAAAAAAGAACTTCAAAGGCTTCAAACACTAAAAGTGTATTATTTCCAATTGATGTTCCATGATTATATAACTGAGGCCTTGAAAAATAGTGTCAAAAGGATGTTGGAGTTACAGTATCTGAGATCCCAGACACATATTAATATGGAACTTTTGGGGGGTGGCACAGGCTACGTCATGCTCAGATGATATGCAGTGCCAGGGATTAAACAGGGGTTGGCTGTGTGCGAGGTAAGTGTCTTACCTCCTGTCCTCTATCTCTGGCCCTATCTGTGCTTCATACAGATCCTAGTATATCAAAATTGAAAACATTGGGGGCTGGAGTGATAGCACAGCGGGTAGAGTGTTTGCCTTGCACGCAGCCGACCCAGGTTCAATTCCCAGCATCCCATATGGTCCCCTGAGCACCGACAGGGGTAATTCCTGAGTGCAGAGCCAGGAGTAACCCCTTTGCATCGCCGTGTGTGACCCAAAAAGAAAAAAAAAGTGAAAACATCTATCAAATGGTTATAGATGAAGGAATAGATATCAGGAAAAATCAGCACTGAAATTGAAGTATTTACAGGTGATAGGTTAAAGAAAAAACTCTCAGAGTGGGTGCAGGAGTGATAATAGGGTGTTTGCCTTGCACGTGGCAGAACTGGGTTCAATCGCCAGCACTCTATATGAAATGGTCCCTTGAGCACCACAAAGAGTAAGGCTTGAGCAATGCCAGGTGTGGCTCAAAAAAACCTCTAAGAGTAGTTTAGGTACCCAGCAAGGGTATAAAGAAAGGGTATATAAGGAGGCACTAAGAGTTGAAGGGAAAAGGGTAATAAAATAGTGAGTTAGGGGCCGAAGAGAGAGTACAATGAGCAGGGCACTTGCCTTGTGTGTGGCTAACCTAGTTGCAATACCTTGGTACTGCCAGGAGTATGCCCTGAGCATTGCCACCAAAATATGAAACAAAGAGAAAAGTTATAGATGATAGGTTAAATATGAACTATTACTACATGACTAACAACCTTTCCAAGAGTGGATTCAATGAGCAGCAGTACAGTCGTCTAGAACCAAGCATAGAAGAAAACTTAAAAAGGATGGGGGATTCAAGGATAGTACGAATAAGGATGACTAAAGATGAAAAGAATTCTAGAATAAAAATTGAAGCAATGTTCAAAATAGATGACTTAAGGGGGAGACTGGCGAGTAAGTTGGACTGGTGCTGCTGAACTGAAGTGTCAAAACTGAAAGTCCGATAGAAGTCAAAATATTGACTCATAAATAAATCTCGAGAAAGATCAACAAGATGCAGAGATTCTTCCGAAACATTAGTTGTTTGATGCACTCCACAGGGGGGCCAGTGAGCCCAGCACCCGACCAAGCAGAGCCCCAGCAGACAAAAATCTCCACACTCCAATTGCCATGTTCCAGGTCAGACTCCACTGCCTGGAATGAGCCTCATCCAAAAATTCATCTGTTGAAAAACTCAAGATATGTAGGTTTTGTGACAGAAATCTGCAGGCTTTCATGAAATCGGGTATGGGCTACCTCCCCACATCTCCCTGCACTTCCGGAAGCTCAGGAAGTTACACACATGCCCCCAAATGCCAACTATATATAACTCCAGCTGCATCACCCTGCTAAAAATTCTGGACTTCCTGGAGTGAAACCTCAAACTCTGCAACACTGATAAACCAGGAGTAGCACACCAGATTGGATGGGATATACTGTAGAAGGTGACCAATCTCGATTAAAATACCAACACAAATGGATTAAACTGTAATTACATCTTAGTAATTTCTTACAAAAGGGCTTAATAGTTATATGGTAAGATAAACAATCTTCACTAACTTTCTGCTAAAGAAACAATTTTTGATCAATGTTTCAGAAAGCAATATAAAATAAATTATCGAGGGCCTGCTATGAGGTAGGCTTAAGGGGTGGCTGGGAAAACTGAAGATAATACTGGTGGGAAGGTGCAACAGTGGTGTGATTTGTGTTGGTATACTGACTGCAGCAAATCATCATGAACAACTTTGTAAACCAGTGTTTATATAAGGTGTAAAGGGAAAATAAAATTTGAAAAGAAATTTAAAAAACTTCATATATCAAAAACTTTAAGGAAAGCAAAAGAAAACAAACATGTAACTTATATTACATCAGAACAGAATAAATATGGTTAATTTTACTTTGATATTTTTGAATAAAGTAATAAGGCACTATAATAGATCTCATCTAATAAAATTATTAGAAATTTAAAAATTACATTAAAAAGAAAATCAAAACAAATAAATACTATGTATGATGAAGTAAAATGGGAGAACAGTAAGGAATGGGTGCCACACATCAGAGTTAATGAGAAATGCTGGACTTAAAAGTTGTCATGGATGGGGCTAGAGTGATAGCACAGTAGGGCATTTGCCTTGAGTGTGGCCAACCCATGTTTGAGTCTCAGCATCCCACATGGTCCCCAGAGCCCCGCCAGGGATAATTCCTGAGTGTGCAGAGCCAGGAGTGACCTCTGTGCATTGCGGGGTGTGACCCAAAAAGCAAAAAAAAATATGCCATGGTACCTTGAGGTAAAATTGATCACCATGGGAAAGAAAAATCTCATGAGTGAAGTACTAAAGTATGACAATTCTTGAATACGGCAATTGGCTACAATCAGAAAGTTAACATAAATAGAAGTCTTATTATGGTGGCCTAAAAGAAATGAACTTTTCTGTCTGCTTAAAAAATCAATACGGGGCCCAGAGAGAGAGTACTGTAGGCAGGATTCTTGCCTTGCACATGACCAACCTGAGTTTACCCCATATGGTCCCCTGAGCATTGCTAGGAAAAAGCCCTGAGCACTGCTGGGTGTGGCCACAAAACAAAACCAAAACCAAACCCACCCTCAGGAATAAAGTAAGTGCCTATGAGTGAGGCTTACAGGAACATAATGTGGGCTTTACAGTCTTTCTCTAACACAGAGTTACGTAGTAGGTACTCACGATGTAAAATGATGTAGAAAAATGAATTTCAGAACTATTATTATGACTGAAGTATACTATAGCCTCACTTGAAATCTCCTATTTCAGTGAATATGAACAAATAGATGAGAGAAAGGGAAGGGCAAGATGGAGGGAAAGAGTAAAGCATGTATACTTGGGAGCATCAATAATTTTCTTCACATCTTTGATAAATCTGGACTCTCTCAAAGTGACTATTCTGAAGAGGGGAACATGCTGTTGCATGTATGGGTTTGCTAAATGTCTTGAAAATATTTTAAATAACCACTTTTTAAAAGACATAGAAAAATTAATTTTCCTATACTAAATTGATTAGCCTAAGTACTATTTTAATTTTTGTCTTACTGATGTCTTACTGATTCATTATAGAGCTAGAAAACAGTAGTGTGTAATATTTTGAAATCCATTAGCTCCTTGATGTGACAACCTGGCTTCTAACATTACAACTTTGTTTTCAAAAATCAAACATCTTGAATGAAAATTCTGATAATATATGGTCAACTTACCTCACCATATGATTTACGAAGGCTTTGTTGCAGTTAGTATTATATTTGCAAAAATTACACTGAATATATATTGAAAAGTGGCCTGCAAAATCTTTTATTTTGGAATGACATTCAATGCACTTGTGAAGTCCCCGATTACACCTTATGGGAGACAGAAAGAAATGACAAAAATATAAAACAAAGGTAGTAAGGGAAAGCCTTTTATTAACCAATGCCAAAATATTTAAATTAACATTTTAAATACTTATAATTAGGAAATTTTTTCCAAACAAGCTAAGTGTAAAAAATTTAATAATGTTGCCCTGCAAAAATGATGATATATTCAATTATCACAAGATACAAGCGTAAAATATAGATTAACATAGAAGGACAACAGAATAAACGATGAACTCTGCTCAGCAGCTATATACAGTATCCTTTTATTCTCTCCTTGGCCTTTATCCAGGTAAGAGATTATCTCATAAATATTTGTGGAGGTTTTGTGATACGATAAATTCTAACAAAGCAAACTTCTCATAGTTAAGATGAAATTAATACTGTATACCAAGAATAAAAGATTTTACCTTACATTCTTCATAGCTACAGTGATAGCAGTCTTTCTCCTGCGATACCGTCTTCTGATAGCGGTTCTGATTTTTTGTTGTATGTCACTTTGCACTGCGTTACTTGCACTAGCTTTACCTGCAGCAGATGCAGATGTAGATGGGCAATCCGGGTTGATCTTATATTTGGTTACCTTGGCTTTGCCAGATTTAGTTTTGATATCCTTAGCTTTGCCAGCCTTAGCCTTGCCAACCTTAACCCTGACAGCCTTAGCCTTGACAGCCTTAGCCTTAATGACCTTAGCTTTGAGGACCTTAGCTCTGCTGGCCTTAGCTTTGCTAGCCTTAGCTTTGCTGGCATTAGCTTTGTTCACTTTAGCTTTGCCAGCCTTAGATTTGCTGGCAGCACATTTTGCAGAACTTTTGGCAGTTGCACTTTTAGATTTCGGAGCTGGGAGCTGAAAAGAAGAAGTACTCGGACTACTGGGAGGTGATGTAGTTGATGGTCTTGAATGAACAGATCCAAATGAAGCTCGAATGGTAACCTATAAGAAATAGAGGCAATAAGTAGTTTTACTTTTTACTGTTTTGGTTTTGGGGCCATACCCGGCAATGCTCAGGGAACCATATGGGATGCCGGCGATTGAACCCGGGTCAGTCATGTGCAAGACAAGCTCCCTACCTGCTGTACTATTGCTCTGGCCATGCAATAAATAGTTTTAGAAAAAATCATTAGCTGGGAATGTGACTCAGTGATGAGGTGCCTGCCTCATGAGACCTAAGTTTTATCCCATGAACCATAAAAAAGTAATCACCACACTACTATTAAATGTCAGTATAGTCAATAATAAATAACCTCAGATCATGGTTAGCATTTTTTTTGCTTTTTGGGTCACACCTGGTGGTGCACAGGGGTTACTCCTGGCTCTGCACTCAGGAGTTAATCCTGGCGGTGCTCAGGGGACCATATGGGATGCTGGGAATCGAACCCGGGTAGGCCGCGTGCAAAGCAAATGCCCTACCCGCTGTGCTATCTCTCCAGCCCCATGGTTAGCATTTTTTGTACTGAAGGATTTTTTTGTGTGTTTGGGGTCATCCACACCCAGTGATGCTCAGGGATTATTCCTGATTTTTTACTCCAGGGTTGCTCCTGGTTGTTCTCATGACCATGTGGTGCTGGAGATAGAACCCTGGCCTCCTGTATGCAAAATACTTTTAAAGTAAGACTTGTACATTTTTTTCTGACATAGTGCTACTGCACACTTAATAAACTACAGTATAGTTCAAACGAAACTTTTGTTTTGGGGCAGGGGTTGGAGCGACACCTGGAGATACTCAGGGGCTATTCTTTCTCTGTGCTTAGGGGAACATCTGTGGCGTCAAGGATTCAAATCAGGTTCACAAGATGTAAGGCAAGCATCCTAACCCCTATATTATCTCTCTGGACCTAATACACAGAAATTTTATATGCTATTGGAAACCAGACAATTTATGCAACTTGCTTTATTATGATGGCTGCTTTATGGCAGTGACCTGAAACCAAATCCATAATATCTCCAAGGTATGCCTGTACATGTAATTTGCCAGACACATTATTCATAAAAGGAAAAAACCAGAAACATGTCAAATACCTGTCAAATGATGAATTACAGTTGATCCATACAATGGAATAATATTCAGCCATAAGAATGAGTTAAGTACTGATACAACTAAATATGGACAAATTCAAGAAACATTATACTAAGTGGAAGAAGCTGATTGTGAATGATCACATAATGAATGACTCCACTTAAATAAAATTTCCAGTATATGCAAAGCCACAGGGAAAAAAGAGAGTACAGCCAGTGTGAGTGAACAGTAGTTAGGGTGCTTGCCTTGCACGTGGCGGACCCAGGTTTGATACCTGGCACCACATATAGTCCCACCGAGTCCTGCCAGAACTGATCCCTGAGCAAAGAGCCAGGAGGAAGCACTAAGCTCAACCTTGTGTGGCCAAAAAATATAGTCATAAAAAATTAAAAGTACTTCTGGGGCCAAAACAGTAATTCAGCAGATAGGGTGCTTTTCTTAAATGTAGCAGACGCAGGCTTGATCCTTTGCATCCTATATGCCAGAAGTGATCCCTGAATGTAGAGCCAGGAGTTAAGTCCTGAGCACCATCAAGTATAGTTCAAAAACCAAAAGAAAAGCACTGCAGTGATGTTTGCACGTTTTTGTGAATATGCTAAAAGCCATTGTTAAATTTTATACTTAATACAGGTGAATTATATGGTATATGAATACCTCAACTACTGTTATGATACTTCAATAGAAAAAGAAAACCATAGTTAATTTGAAAATTCCAAATACAAATTTCTATCAGTTTCCATGTGCTTTAAATGGTCATCCCAATTAGATAAAATTCACCTCGGTATTAGTTTACTGTCATTAATAAAATAGCTTAACATTATGACAGCTACATATTGACACAAATACTAATGAACCTGTACAAATTGATGTGCTATCATATGCCCTGATAGAACTAAAAAGCTTTCATAAGCCTAAAATAACAACTCTGAAAAGGCCTGCATTTCTCTTAGGTACTGTAAAATAGCACTCTAGCAGATATAACCTGCTCTTTCTTGAGGACGTACTGGGCAGGATTTATGGTTCCAAAGGTTACCATGAAGGCCCCACAAAGAGTAATATACAAAATTTCCTTAAAGGGAGCTACCATATAAAACTTGGACGTTTCAATTATTGTATGTACCTTAAGTTTAAACAGATATGTTCCCCCAAGTCCACTATGAGTGACCCTTGAGCTCTGAGCCAGGACTAAGCCCAGAGCACTGCCCGATGTGCCCCCCAAACAAAAAGAGAATCAGAGAAAACACATATATAAGGTCATCAGGGAAAATGAAGTTTGTAGTCAGATGTGTGTTAGCTCACTGAAGAGAGCGCTGTTATTCAGAAGTGAAATAACTTCACTGAGAATGGACAATAGACATAGAAACACCAATTTGAGCTAACTGTGGCATTCAAGTCACTATGACTGATAGTGGAACAAAAATAAATTAAACATGATATCTGAACTTGAGTCTAGCAGCTGAAGCAGACACGTCACATGCTGCCAACTGGAACTGCCAAAAATAAGCCTAGAGAATGTTGAATTAAGCCCCTGACTTCAGTCTACAGTTAATCTTCTTGCACTTACCACAAAGGAGAATGTTGCAGTTTGGCATATAACAATCACTTAAAAAAACAACCAATGGTTTCCAAGTATTATTCAAAAAAGCAACAGCTCTCACAAAATGTTTTCCAAGTAGTATTAGGATGACAAAAGCTAAAATTAAAATTTTAGTTATAACCAGAAGAAACCTTTACCATTGGATAAAATCAGACAGGAGTTTATTTCTATCCTTATATAAAATATGAAAAGACAATATATTAAAAACTCACTTTTGTACCAGAAGGCAATCCTTCAAGCTCTTTTGGCTTTATAAATGTTCGATGCTGGTTCTTATGCTCCAGTTTCTCCTTGCAGGTCAAAAACTGTAGTCTACATTTTGCACAACGATGAACTCCTTTTTTCTGTTTACAAACAGTGTAAACATACAAAACAGTTTACAAACATACTATTAGAAATAATTTCTACCACCATAAAATCTCAGGCTCTGAAAATACTCTGAATTCTAACTGTAAAAATGTAATTATGATCTTTTGGCTTTATTTTGTTGGAGAGGTGTGTGGCCAAACCCAGTGATTTTCCTGGGAATTGTGTGATACTGGGGATTGAATGTAGGCCTCCCACAGGTAAATCAACTGATAGACTGGTCAGTTGGTCAGTCTGTCTCTCTGGTTCCAGAGAGTGAAATAAATAGTCTTTTATCATCTCCCATTATAAATAATTTGATTTTGAAAGAATACGGGGAGCAACCTCCAAGTACACTCATTCTCTCTCTCCCTCTCTCCCTCCGGCCCCCACAAATTTGATGTTTCTGAAGAGGATCTGAAAGACTTAGAAGTTTTACCACTCGTGATCTATGATTTATTACAGTAAAAGGCTACAGAGAAGAAAAGAATTTTCAAAGGTGCCTTGGGTGGAGTCTGGAGGATACTAGGAAACGGTTTCTAAGAATCCTTTCCCAATGGAGTTGCACAGGACAAGTTTAATCAATCCCCTAGTACCTAACTGCAGCAACATATGAGGTGGTTTTTCTATTTTGTTTTTGTCAGGGAAATGCCCTAGAGGCTAAGTGTTCAGATTCTGGGGTGTTTTTTTTATTGTCCGCAGATTTTTCTAATTCTCAGAAGAGAAGCAACTGGGGCTGGAGCAGTAGCACAGAGGGTAGGGTGGTTGTCTTGCACATGGCTGACCCAGGTTTGACCCTTGCCTCCCATATGTTATCCCAGCCCACCAGGAGTGATTTCTGAGCTCAGAGCCAGAAGAAAGCTCTGAGCACTGCGGGTGAGGCACCCAAACAAAAGTTTAGCCAAAGGAAAAAAAGAAAATATTTAACTGTAATTACATTCTTTTGCATAAGTGATTTATATAAACTGTACCATGTGATTCAAGGCTTCGAGCACATTCATTTTTTAAAATTTGGTTGTTGGCAGCCACATCCTTCTGTGCTCAGGGATCACTCCTGGTGGTGCTCAAGGGACCATACATATATGGTCCTGGGCATGAAATTCAGGTTGCCTGGAGGTGTCCAAGGCAGGCACCTTACCTGCTGTACTATCTCTCCAGTCCTGGCATTTACATCTCATATTAGTTCATGGAAAGCTCAGTGTCAGGCAGGGAATATAGCTCAAAGGGCTGGAGTGAGTCATTTGCACATGTTAGGCATGAATCCTATTACTTTGAGCTATCTCTCCTGCCCCTGAAAAATCTTGCTTTAAAAATACACAAATAAATAGGGTTGGAAAGATAGTCCAGTGTGCAGGACACCTGCCTTGCATGTGGGAAAATCTGGGTTCGATCCCTGGATCCCATATGGTCCCCTGATCTGCTAGGAATGATCCCTGAGCCCAGAGCCAAGAGTAAGCACCGCTGGGTGTGGCCCCTAAACCGAAATAAATTTAAAAATGACTAACTGTAAATTGAGCCATTTATTGCATCTCTTGTTGCAAGAACAAATTTTAAGCAGGACATATACTAACATTTGATAGAATAGAGTTTGGGAAGCCAGGGAGATAGCTCAAAGGTCTGGAGTGCAGACCTTGCAAGTCAGCCCCTATCTGAATCCCTGACACTGCTGGGCCTGTGCAGCACCACATCTCAGGGCCCAAACACTGAATTGTGAAGCCTACAGAGCAAGATTATTCCTAGGAACCTAAAGCTTTTCTAGAGATGTTCCCCCATAAACTTTTTTTTTTTGCTTGTTGTTGTTTGTTGTTTTATTTTAGAGCCATACTTGGTGATGCTCAGAGGTTGTCCTGGCTCTACACTCAGAAATCATTCCTGATGGTGCCCAGGAGACCATATGGGATGCCGAGGATTGAACTTGGATCAGCCAAGTTCCCTACTTGCTGTCATATCTTTTCAGCCCCAAAATGAAACTTCTGGGAAACCATAGAAGAGATTCTGCCAGAAGTTCTTAGGGTGAGGTAGACTACCAAGGTTTTTAAAATGTAAGCATAAGCTGGGGACTCAAATGACTGAGCACATGCTTTGCATGTAGGAGGTCCAGGTTTGATTCCCAGCACCACATGGTGCCTCGAGCACTGTTGGTAGTGAACCCTGAAAAAGATTCGAGAGCAGTTTCTGATTACCCTGAGTTATGTCTCAAAAAGCAAAAATTGAAAAAAGCTGAGACTGGAGAGAGTACAGTGGGTAGGGCATTTACCTTGGCATGCGCCTGACACTGGTTAGATCCCTAGTATCCCATATGATCCCCTGAACACTGCCAGGAGGAATTCCTGAGCGCAAAACCAAGAGTAACCCCTTTGTATTGCCAGTTGTAGAACTCTCCGAAAAAAAGGGGGAACGCATGCTGTTACTATCCCAGTAACATAGATGATCCTGTAGGTGTCTGAACAACTATTTTTTATAATTTTTACACAATTAAGTACAAATTAATTTCACGATTATCAAATGAGTCAAGCTAAAAATAATGCAGCATCAATGCTGAATTGGCATTTATAATGCAATCAAGAGTAAGAAAATTAGTGAGTTGATGAGAATACAATACTTGATTAAATAATCATATTTCAATTATTTGTCTTTGGAGGGGGTCTTTATTTAGAAGTATAGTGATGTTTCTGTGATCAGATATATGCTGTAGGTAGCTAATCTCAATAAAGAACAAAGAGCAGCTGAATGTCCCAAGTAAGACAAGCTTATAAGCTGAGAACTCAAGGAGATTCTAGAAATGGTGTGTGGGGGGTGAGTCCCCACCCAAGCCCTGCCACTGTAAAACTCAGCAACCCCAACCCCTACTCCCACACCAGTCATATTGATGGCAGAGAAACGACCCAGCTCCACAACTAACCAAACTTAACCAAATCTTCATTCAATTTTCAGTTTGTTTTTTTTTTGCCACACCTGGCCATGCTCAAGGTCACTCCTGGCTCTGTACTCAGGAATGACACCTGGTAGTGTGCTGGAGACCATGTAGGATGCCAGGGATAGCATCCCAGTCAATAGCATGCAAGGCAAGTGCCTTGCCCACTGTATTATTTCTCTGGCCCCTGCTGGTACCAATGTTCCTGGGTAGACTGGTCCAGGCTGAGAGCTCTGGGGCCTTTTCTGAATGGGGGTGGGCTGACTCCTCTTTCAGCCTGAAGGCATAGCAGCCCTCAGCCACACCAACACCCTCAACATAGACATGGCCCAAAGCCCCAACTGAACCCCAGCAAGCTGCCAGGCTACCAGCTCCAGAGCTATAAGTAAAGTAAGTAAAGTAAAGGCCCTCCCGTTGATCATCGATTTGCTCGAGCGGGCCCAGTAACGTCTCCATTGGAGACTTTGTTGTTACTGTGTTTGGCATATCGAATACGTCGCGGGGAGCTTGCCAGGCTCTGCCGTGCGGGCGAGATACTCTCGGTAGCTTGCCAGGCTCTCCGAGAGGGGCAGAGGAATCGAACTCGGGTCGGCCATGTTGGCTGCGTGCAAGGCAAATGCCCTACCGCTGTGCTATCGCTCCAGCCCCTCCAGATCTATAGCTTCTGGATAGCAGCAGCACATGCAGCCATGCGACATCTCCACATTTCATAGCAGCGTCAGACCAGCACATCTGATGGGAAAGTGGCATAGAAGCCCACCAAGCTCAATGAGCCCAAACAATAACACAGAAGGTTCAACTAGCACTAACCAGCACAGTAGATCCTCAATGACTTAAGTAACACTATTGTATAGGATACAACAATTACACAATTTGACTCCTATTGATCTAAGCTTTGATAATTCCATTTGCCTTTGTGCTGTAAATAGCAATATGAAGTAAATTTGTTTGTGCCTCCAAGGGGCCAGGCTGGGGTGGTAGATGGGTAACTGGGGACATAGGTGGAGGGAGGAACACACTGTGGTGGTGGTATTAGTGTTGGAACATTTAATACCTGAAACAACCGTACTATGAATCACTTGGTAAATCTTGGTGTAATAATAAAATTTTCAAAATATGCTATAGGATGGGCTGGAGCGATAGCACGGCAGTAGGGCGTTTGCCTTACACGCGGCCGGCCAGGTCAGTCCGAGTTTGATTCCTCCGACTCTCTCGGAGAGCCTGGCAAGCTACCGACAGTATCTCTCCCGCACAGCAGAGTCTGGCAAGCTACCTGTGATGTATTCGATATGCCAAAGACAGTAACAACAAGTCTCACAATGATGGAGACGTTACTAGGCCCGCTTGAGCAAATCGATGAACAACGGGAGGACAGGACAGGACCATGCCATAGGAACTTAACTCTTTGTTTATAAAATTAGCCTGTGGTCAAACTATTCTCATTACATGTTATTTTGCTTAAAATTCCGTTTCTAAGGACTATGAATCAATGACAGAAAGTGAAGATAAACTGTATATACCATTTCACAAAGACAAAATAAAAAAAGAAAAAAGCTAAATCTTACCTGGTGCTTCATGTAATGATTCATGTAGGGAGTTGCCATTCTACTAACTTTTAGGCAAAAAGGACAGAGCAAGTTCTTAGTGTTTTCATGGGATGCTCTGAAATGAGCTTCGACATCAGAAAATGTAGATGATCTAAACTGGCAAACCTAGAAATATAAAGAGTGTGGTGTAACATCTGACATGAGATTACATCAGAGTAGCAATGATAAGTAATTTTAGAGAAACATCATGTACTGCTAACTCAGCCTTGCAGCCTTATACAACCAAGCATCCCACCACCGCAAGTAATATAGTAATCTTTGAAACAGAAAACTACTTTTAAACTTTAAGGAGGGGCTGGAGCGATAGTACAGCAGGTAGGACGTTTGTCTTGCACGCGGCTGACCCAGGTTCGATTCCCAGCATCCCATATGGTCCCCCGAGCACTGCCTGCAGTAATTCCTGAGTGCAAAGTCATGAGTAACCCCTGAGCATCACCGGGTGTGACCCAAAAAACTAAAAAAAAAATTTAAGGAGATATTCCTAAACATAGAATTCCCAACATCTTTTCCTATATTAACTTCAAATTCTAAACTCTAACCCCTTGTCATAAAAAAAAATCCTGCTATATAAAACAAGAGTATTCTCCATTTCAAATAGACTTGGGCAATGACATAGGCATTTTTATTGTTATTTTATGTCCTATGTCTGCCTTTTTTCAGCAGGGGATTCTTTTTATCTAGCACTGAGGTCTATGGCCCACAGGTCAAATCCAACTCCCCCTCCCTTATGTGAGTTAAACCAAGCCAACTATGATTGACTACATTAAGTGGGTCTTAAATTTTGATAACAATGTTTAGCCAAAAATAAAATGTATCCTATAGCACAAATATCAAATACCTAATGACAAAATGTGTGTACCTGACAAACATATGGCATTTCACCAGGTTTATGAGTGTCCTTCATATGTTGTAAAAGAGTATGTTCCGTTTCAAATGATAATTCACAGATTTTGCAAATAGCTAAAATGAGGAAAAAGCATATACCATTTTAAGTACATATAAATAATAATTCTATTTTATACATCCATACCAACAATATGAAGTAATAATTACAGTAGTGCTGGTGGTTCCTAAAATTCTATAGTTGATAACCTCCTAATACCATTCTAATAACTTATGTTTACTTATGGTCTCACTCCATACTTGGCTTTTACTGTTTTTCCATATCTTTTCTCTAGGGATTTTGGCCACACCCAGCAGTACATGGGAGACCAGGGCTCAAAACAGAGGCTCTTGCATACAAAGCATGCACCCCAGTCCTTTAACCCATCTTCCTGAAAAAGTGTTCCTTTTCTTAGTAAAATGTAAATGAAGACTACTGGTTTCATACACAAAAGCCATGGCATTTTCTCATATTGCCCACAGAATGTATGAGTCACTGTCAAAGAAGTTTCTATTTCTAAGAGGGATTTCAGTGAAGGTTGAAGGACAAAGCTACTTTGTCCGCAATTTAGAAATATCTTTCTGACTCTTATTCCACTACCAAATTGACCCAGGATTCCTTAGAGTTTCAATCCTCAATATGAAGTTCTGGGCTTCAATGAACTGGTGACTTACTTGAGAACTCGTGGGGAGTATGTGTACTCTCAATGTGGCACTGCAGCTGGAAAGGAGTTGGAAACTGGCGGTAGCAGTGCTGGCACGTGGTGTGGTTTTCCCAGCTTTCACTGTTTTGCTTCTCCAGTTCCAGATGGTGCTTCATATGATTCATAAATCTAGAAATGAGTATCACTAGGCATAAATATTCAAATTTCCTCCAGGTCCTCTCAGAGTTAGGGATGGGCTACCTACCCCCATGCCCCTGTTCTTTCCAGAACCTGGCAGTCACACCCACACACTGCCTCTCTCACAATCTAAGCTCATTAACCCGCGGAGATCCAGAGACTCACAAATCTCAGAAGAGATCAACAAGCTCCAGAGATGCCTCAGACCCCTAAATCACCATCCAGTTAAAAATTTAACTATAGTGGTATCACCTTTTTTAAAATTTTAGAATTCTTGGAGTGTGAATACTCTATACCACTGATGTACCAGGAGTAGCACACAATGGATAGGATGTAAGATAGAAGGCAAGCAAAAATGCAATTAAAAATATTAGTACACAAGGATGCAACCTGCTAGAACATGTTAAGAATCTCGTATACAAGGGTTCAATGACTCCAGGGTGAGATACAACAATCTTCACACACTTTCTCCTAAGGAAAACTTTTTGAACATTTTTAGAGAATTATTCCTAACAAGCAATACAAAATAAATTTTTACGGTCTGCTATTGGGGGCAGACTTGGATGGTGGCTGGGAAAATAAGAAATAATGGTGGATGAAAGATGTAATGGTGGTGGGATTGGTGTTGGAATATTGAATGTAGTAAATTATTGTGAACAACCCTATAAAATAAAATAATTGGTATATTTTAAACTTAAAAATATATTCATATTTATAACTAAGAAAAATCTCAACCAAGAAAAATCTCAAACAAGATACGGGGGAGGGGGGGAGGGAATCTTTTTTTTTTCTGGTGCCACAACTGGTGGTGCTCAGGTCTTACTCCTGGCTCTGTGCTCCAGGATCATTCCTGGCAGGGCTTAGGGTGACCAAATAAGGTACTTGTGATCAAACTTGGGTCAGCTGTGTGCACAGCAAGAACCTTACACTGTATTGTCGTCAATCTCCTTAAAGAGGTATCTGAACCTCAATGTTAAAAATAAAGCTGGGACGGGCCGGAGCGATAGTACAGCAGGTAGGGAGTCTGCCTTGCATGCGGCTGACCTGGGTTCAATCCCTAGCAACCCATATGGTCCCCCAAGCACTGCCAGGATTAATTCCTGAGTGCATGTTGGGTGTGAGCCAAAAAAAAAAAGCAAAAAAAAAATGCAGCTGAGCAATAGCATAGTGGTCAATGGAGCATGCTTTATGTTCACTGGAGACACCAAGTTCAAAGTCCTTGCCACATGCTCACCCCACCAGTACTGCTCCACACCAAAAGGTCCAGGCACTGAACCACATGTCTTGGTTCACTAAATACTGATTGTGGGAGTGGACCCCAGGGCCCCTAAGCACTGCTTGAAAATAGCCTCCAAGGTCCCTAAGCACCTTCTCCAAAACATTCTACTACTCAAAATTCCAAATACCTAAACCCACTAGGAAAGCAAACATTTTATTTTAAATAACCACTTCCACTAAGACGCTGGCAAATGGGGTTTTTTTTGCAGCTTTGTTTAAAAATAATTGGTTAATGAACCAAGAAGTTAGACAGCTCTCAGGGCACATACCTGTCATGCACAGTGCTTCAAGCTAATCTCTGGAACTGCATGGCCTCCAGAGTACTGCCAGGTGTAACTCTGGTGATCACCAGAACTTCTGTGGAGGTCCATACTCAAAGAACAAAACAAGGGCCAGGAATGTGGCTCAGTGATTGAGCACTTCCCTGCATTCATTAAATCCTGCATGGATTTAATTTCCTGGCACCTCATTTTCAACCAAAAGCTTCAGAGAACAGTAAGCCCTAAGCATTAAACTGGGAGTAATCCCTGAGTAACACAAGGTGTGACCCCAAAACTAAAAGCAAAATGAAGGGGCCAGAGTGGTAGTACAGTGGGTAGGGAGGGAGTCTGCCTTGCATGCTGCCAACCTGGCTTCAATCCTGGACATCCCTTATGGTCCTTTGAGCACCTCCAGGAATAATTCCTGAGTGCAGAGCCAGGAGTAACCCCTGACCATCTCTGGGTATGACCCCCCAAAAAGCAAAATAAAGAAAAGAAAAAAAAGAGAGAAATTTGTATTTGTGAGAACCTGGGTTCAATCTGCAGCAACACACAAAAGGATGAAAAAAAGCTGGGGGCCAGAGCAATAGTACAACGGGTAGGGTGCTTGCTTTGTACATGCCTGACCCGGATTCAATCTCCGGCATCCCACATGGTCTCCCTAAGTCCACGAAAATTAATTTCTGAGTGCAGAGCCAGGAATCATCCCTGAGCATTGGTGGGTGTGGCTCAAAAACCCTCCCCTCCCTCAAAAGAAAAGTATCTGGACGCTTTTCAATACATAAAGTACTATTTACATTTTAAAATCATGTTTTAAATCAAACACTTGAAAGAAATTGTATCACCCAATAGCCACAGGGTCATGACAGAAATCTTCGGAAGACTCTGAAGATGTATGATACATTATAGCTGCTTTAAATACAAAATACTAGCAGTGTTTTTGTGTCTTGATTTTCTAAAGTTGGTTATTTTTCAGAGGCCACATCTAGTGATGCTCAAAACAGCCTGGTTCTGTGGTCAAGGGACCATTATGCAGTGCTGGAGATCGAATCCAGGTCAGCGACATGCAAGGCAACCACCTTAACCTCCATACCATCTCTGTGTAGAACTTGATTTTTTTTTTTGGCTTTTTGGGTCAGACCCGGTGATGCTCAGGGGGTTACTCCTGGCTTTGTACTCGGGAATAACTCCTGGAGGTGCTCCAGGGATCAGATCGGATGCTGAGGATTGAATCCGGGTCAGCTGTGTGCAAGGTAAACGCCCGACCCGCTGTACTATAGCTCCAGCCCAAAAGTTGATTAAAAAAATTGTTGTGGCGACCATACCTGGAGAGGCTGGGGACTCCAAAGGCCAGTCTTGGCAGTGAACGGCCTAGGAATACTGAGCAGGGGCTAACAGGGCTACCCACAGTGGTGTTCTGAGGAACTTGTGATGCCAAGGACCTAACTTGCACCTCCTACGTGCAAAGTATATGTTGAGTTCATTGAGTTATCTCTCTCTCCAGCTCTGGTGCTGAGGATGACCCAGGGCCTTGCTTATGTTAGACGTGTGCTCTGCCACTTGAGTCCACTCCCTCATCCTGATAAAGTAGTTTTATATGCTAGAAAGAGATCCAGAAGCAACGAAAATGTGTTTTCTAAATACCTCACAAAGATTCCTATTTCAATGATAACTATAAGAAAAAAAATAATTTTCCTCAGGGTAAAATATATTTCTCCCTTTTTAAAATTATCTGAAATACAGGGTGGAGCTATGTGTGAAACTTCTAAAAATGCCAGAAAAGAAAAAAGTTTACATCATGGGGGCTGGAATGATAGCACAGTGGGGCGGGAGTTTGCCTTTCACACTGCTGACCCAGATTCCATTCCTGGCATCTCTTATGGTCCCCCAAGCCTGCCAGGAGTCATTCCTAAGTGCAGAGTCGGCAATAAGCCCTGAGAACTGCTGAGTGTGGCCCCAAACCCAAATTACAACGTGATAATCTGCCTTTTGTTCTTAGTAGAAAGTATTACAGGAGCAAAATATACACTATCTATGCTCACAGCATACAATGAGTATTTACATACCTTATATTATTTTTAAGAACTTTTGAGCAACTGAAGCATTTAAAGGTTGTGAAAGTCTTCGGTTCATCATCAACAGCTCCTTCATGTCTGCCATAATAAAAGTCACTAACTAGCATGATCAATTTTCCTTTTTCTGAGCTAGTCTTGTTTGTATTTTCAGTATCTGTAAGATCTATGTTAGCGCTTTCCAAAATTGTATGTATCATATCTGGGCAACAATGCTGAAAGAGAAAAAATGTTATGTCTTATATATATATATCTTTAAAAACTAGATAACGAAAGATTCAACATTTATAACTGGAGCTAATTCATTTAAAATTGCTGCTGGAAATATATTTGAAAAAATATTCATTAAAACACTGGCTTCTTGCGGGGTGGAGCAATAGCACAGCAGGTAGGGCATTTGCCTTGCACACAGCCAACCTGGGTTTGACTCCCAGCATCTCATATGGTCCCCTGAGTACCTCCAGGGGTAATTCCTGAGCGCAGAGCCAGGAGTAACCCCTATGCATCGCTGGGTGTGACCCAAAAAGCAAAACAAAACAAGACACCCCCCCCCCAAAAAGAAACACTGGTTTCTTTAAAAAAGAAATCTCGAAATCTCAGTACATGTTGGGGAACTGTGCTTTTAACTCAGCTTTGAAATTGTTAGGCAATCATATTAAGCCATTAAACCAGAACAATCTTCTGTACCTAAGCCATTTAACTTTGGGTTGAAGGGATTACGGGGACTTTTGAAAGGGATTGGAGGTTGAATCTCAGCTATGTCATTTAGCTATAAAACAAAGAGAAAAGATCTATCCTCAAGAATTTTCTAAGGATTAAGGGATAAAGTAGTGTTCTTGCTTTGCATGGGTTAGACCTGTGTTCCACACCTAAATTCCTGCAAAATTATTATTTTTAAAATTTTTTGTTTGAGGGCCACACCTAGCAGTGATCAGGGCTTTTTTTGGGTCATACACAGCAATGCTCAGGGGTTACTCCTGGTTCTGCACTCAGGAATTACTCCTGGTGATGATCAGGAACCATATTGGATGCCAGTGATCCAACCTGGGTCAGCTGCATGCAAGGCAAATACCCTACCCACTGTACTATTGCTCTGGTCCCGAATTTGTTTTCTGAGTATTTTATTTTTTTTGCTTTTTGGGTCATACCCAGCGATGCTCAGGGGTTACTCCTGGCTCATGCACTCAGGAATTACTCCTGGCGGTGCTTGGGGGACCGTATAGGATGCCAGGGACTGAACCCGGGTTGGCCGTGTGCAAGGCAAACACCCTCCCCGCTGTATTATTGCTCCGGCCCTTGTTTTCTGTTTAATGGTCACAAATGGCAGTGTTCATGGATTACTCATCTGTGCTCAGGGATCATTCCTGCTAGGGATCAGGGGACCATATAGGGTGCTGGGGATCAAATCTGGGTTGTCCACATACAAGGTAGTTACCCTGCTTGCTATATTGTCTCTCTGACCAAATGAATATTTTACTTAAGGTAAAAGTGGGGAATGTCTGGCTTGTGGGCCACAAAATGTCAAAATCACATGGTCTGGCCTTGGTACATTCTAGGACAGACATGTGTGCTTCTTGTCAGCTGCCTATAGCAAGTCTGCCTTTATATATGGTCTGTGGATAATGTTAATACCCAGATAACTGTTGGCAGGAAAATAGGATCCCACTCCTGACCATATGAAATTACTAGTAAGATTTATCTAAATATCTGGACGAATAACCTTTTACTATTTGTTAAGTCTTAGAATTTTCAGAGATGTGGTGACAATTTTTTTACTTTTGGGCTATATCCGGTGGTGTTCAGGAAGGGTGCCAGGGATCAAACCCAGATTGGCTACATGCAAGGCAAGTTCCTACCCACTGTACTATCCCTCCAACCTGATTGGTGACTATTTAAAAAATCAAATTTTAGATGCGATTTACCTTCATATGAAATTGCAGAGTCTCAAAATGAGTGAAGTGGGTACTGCACTTTGGACAAGCTCTTACAGGTATTCCAGTTGTAAAATGAAATGATGCATTATCTGGATCTAAAATAAATTAAGAACTGTCACAAGTCAAAATCTTATGCAATTTTTTCCTGCTAAGGATCAAATCTAGGGTCTCGAACAGACGAACTAAGCCCTCTACCAGAGTCACATTCTCTGCCCCTACACTTAGTTAAATCCTAAAGAACCGGTAATTTAGCTTTATAAATTTATCATACTTTCAAAACTACAAATAATATAATTTCTCTTTTTTCTATGATAGACTTTATACTCTTTTTTTAATACTCACTCTTTAAAAACATACCACAAGAGGATGACTCTGAAGAACTACTTAAAGACAATGAGGCAGAAGCATTTACTTGGGTAACAGCTTCACTGATCTTTGGTTTCTGGGGAGTAATACTGTTTGCTCTCAGAGCAGTATAATATTACAGTTTAAATCAAATAAACATATTTTTGAGCTAAATTAAATATAATAGCATTCAATTATTATATGTAAGCTGAGCAAATAATGACAAAAATTATGTGATGGAATAGGCAGAGAGAGCACAAATAGCTACTTTAAAACAATTTGAACTGTGCATAATTTGATCAGTTCATGAAATAAACTTTTTATGCCACAAAATTCTAAGGAAGCTTTCAAATTAAAAATATGAATAAACACCATGAAAGAAATCAGACCAAAAATATCTCAAGCAAAGACCAGAACAATTATACTGCCCAGAGCTTAATGGTTCAGTCTAATGGGATATGAATGGGCATGTCAGGAAACTCATTTTTACCTTTTCCGCCCTTGCACATTTATTGTTTTTTTAATTAGACATTTACCCAAAATTTTGTTCAAATATATTTAATTTTGGGGGCTGCACCCAGCAGTACTCAGGGCTTACTCCTGGCTATGAGCTCAAGGATCACTCCTGGAGGGGTTTGGGGACCATATGGATGTTGGAGATTGATCCTGCTGGCAGCATTTAAGGTAAGTGCACTATTCATTGTACTATCTCCCTGGCCTAACGAGTGAGCTAGTCTATAATTAAACCAAACCAAAGTTCTCTTGAAAATAACAGACAATCAGCAGTGCTGGTTTCCACACATGTGAGATATGTATTTTCACAGATGCAAAGCAAATGCTCTACTGCTGATCTATATCCTCAGCCCCAACATAAAGTATATTAAAATTACAAAGAGGAGCAAGGAGCTAGCTCCAAGTGCTGGGGTACATGCTTTGCATGCTGGAGCCCCAGGTTCAAACTCTGGCACCACATGCTCCCTCAAACATTGCCAGGTGTGCCCCAAAACAATAATTTGTTTTTATTTTCTATGTTGCCAGGAGTGATTACTGGGTGCAGAGCCAGGAGTAAATACTGAGCACTTCCAGGTGTAGTTAATTCCCAAAATTCTTCATGGCATATCAATTTATGAGATTAATAAAAAACTTTGGTATACGATACAAAAAAAATTATTAAATCGAAGGTTTGTATTTCATGGAAATTTACTGGTATTGATTATTTAACTTTAACTATTACTTCAGTAAAGCCACTTTAAAAAATAATTACATTTAACTACTACAGCTATATCATTTATTCCAACAGAAAGGCACTATCCTATTAAGAAATCAATTATAAATAATCATTCATTAGTCTCATACTAATGACCTTCCAAATAACTGAAGCTTCTTTCTAAAAGCACAGTATTAGGATATCAAGGGAGATCCACGACTCACAGAAACTATATTAAGATTTTTCAGTCCATGGCTGATTCTAAGTGAGAAAGAGCTCAAGGGTACATGCTAGCTAATGTATAAGATACAAAACATCCTATACAATTTTACATAAAATCACCTAGAAGGGCTTTTAGGAACTATAAGCTCCTATCTTACAGCATATGAAAAACTTAACATGAAAGTATAAAATAAAAATTGAAACTCATTCTCTATTTGTATTCAACAAGTTTATTATAAAGTTTATTATAAAGACATAAAAAACCAAACCTTCTGCCTAACACCATGCACAAAAGTAAGATCAAAATGGATTTATGACCTCAACATCAGACCAGAATCCATAATGTTTATTGAAGACAAAGTCGGCAAAACTCTCCATGATATTGAAGCTAATGGTATCTTCAAAGATGTCACGCCACTGGCCGAGCAAGTGAAAACAGAGATAGACAAATGGGACTATCTTAAACTAAGAAGCTTCTGCACCTCAAAAGAAACATTGACCAAAATACAAAGACAGCCTACAGAATGGGAAAGGATATTCACCAAGTACACATCCGACAAGGGGTTGATATCAAGGATATACAAGGTACTGGTTAAACTCCACAAGAAGAAATCACCCAACCCCATCAAAAAATGGGGTGAGGAAATGAACAGAAACTTTCGCAAAGAAGAAATTCGAATGGCAAAAAGGCACATGAGAAAATGCTCTACATCACTAATCATCAGAGAGATGCAGATCAAAACCACAATGAGATATCATTTCACACCACAGAGACTGGCCCACATCCACAAGAACAAAAGCAACCGGTGCTGGCGCGGATGTGGCGAGAAAGGAACCCTCCTTCACTGCTGGTGGGAATGCCGGCTGGTCCAACCCTTTTGGAAAACAGTATGGACGACTCTCAAAAAATTAGAATTTGATCTGCCATTTGACCCAGCTATAGCACTCCTGGGAATATATCCCAGAGAGGCAAAAAGGTATAGTCGAAGTGACATCTGCAATTGTTTGTTCATTGCAGCACTCTTTACAATAGCCAGAATCTGGAAAAAACCTGAGTGCCCAAGAACAGATGACTGGTTAAAGAAACTTTGGTACATTTACACAATGGAGTACTATGTAGCTGTTAGAAAAGATGAAGTTATGAAATTTACATACAAGTGGTACTACATGGAAAGTATCATGTTAAGCGAAATGAGTCAGAAAGAGCGGGATAGACACAGAAAGATTGCATTCATCTGGGGAACATAAAGCAACAAAAAGGGAGAGTGACACACAGGAATGGCTGAGATTAGTACCAGGAATTTTGCTCCATGAATGGAAGGCCAGCCACAGACTCTAGGTGAAAAGGAAGCTCAGATAGAGAAGAGAGTACCAAATGAATGGTGTTGTGAGGGCCCTCCCAGGGTGGGAGAAGCATGCTGAAGGTAGTCGATAGACCAAACATGATTGCCACTCAAAGCCTCTCTTGCAAAACACAGTACCCAAAAGAAGAGAGAGAGAACAGGGGGGAATACCCTGCCACAGAGGCAGGATGGGATGGGGGGGGGGATAAGGGTGGGGGGGATGCTGGGACCCATGGGGATGGATGACGGGCACTGGTGGAGGGATGGGGACTTGATAAAAGAAAAAAAAAAACCCAAACCTTCTATATCATCTGCGATGTTATCTTGGGACAGTGACTCTGAATCCTGGGTCAAGTCAAACAATTCCTGAGACTCATCCGAATCAATTTCTAGTGAGTCACTTGCAAAATCCTGTAAAAATGATAATAACTCTGTTTCATGAACTTTTTTAAAAAGTCAATTTAACTGTATGTCAATATTATAAAGAAACATTAGCTTTAAAGTAATCATTAGTCTGTGAAAATTTACTTATGGACATGGCTATTATGCTGGCTGAAATGGGTCAGAGGGAGAGGGTCGGAAAGAGAGGGATCACATTCATTTGTAGAACATGAAACAACCTAATATGCAAATAATACCCAAAGACAATAGAAATAAGGGTCAGGAGGATATGTCCATGGCAGAAAGCTCATCACGAAGAGGAAGCTTGTCATGGGGGGCTTAGGGGTAGGGAATGCAGGTATGACAGAGGAGGGACTACTATGACAACATAATTGGTAATGATCACTATGGACAAGAACTGGGTATGAAAAGGAGGAAAAATGATATGAGAAAAAATGGGAAGGAGGGAGGAAGAGAGAAAGAGAGAGAGAGAGGACGAAGTGAGGGGGAGAGGGAGAAAGAGTGGAGAGAGGGACAAATGGGTAGGTACAGGGAGAAGGGGAGAGAGGAAAGATGCAGACAGGGGCCAGAGGGAAACTGGGGATATAGGTGGTAGGAAATCTACATTGCACAATGGATGGGTGTTGGGAAGTTGTATGACTGAAACCCAATCATGAACAACATTTTAACTACAGATCTCACGTTGAGTCAATAAAAGTAACATAAAATGAACTATAATAAGGAGATAAAGTACTTGTTGAGGGAATGTGCAATTATACCCCTAAATACATATAATTATAAATACCTATAAAATACATATAATATTCATACACATTTATAGGCCTGTAAACCATTATTTGAATAAAAGTAAAAGGTTCAAATAGTTGGTTCAGTATTTCACATTCCATTTCCCAGAATTTACTCTAAGGAAATTACATATATATTCGATTTTGGTTTTGGTTTCTGGGCTACGCCTGGTGGTCCTCAGGGCTTACTCCTGGTGGGTTCAAGACATAACATGGGGTGCCAGAGATTGAACCCAGCTGTGTGCAAGGCAAATGCCCTACCCTCTCTACTATTACACTGGTTCTGAACAAATCTTTTAACAAGTTATTTGTTGATTAATATATATGCTCTTTGGAGAACAAAAGGGAATGCCCTGCCACAGAGGCAGGGTGGGATGGGGGATGGGGGGTGGGAGGGATACTGGGATCAGTGGTGGTGGAGAATTGGCACTGGTGGAGGGATGGGTACTCGATCATTGTATAATTGAAACCCAAGCACAAAAACTTGTAAGTCTACAACTGGACCTCATGGTGTTTCAGTAATAAAAGTTTATAAAGTGGTAGCACTTTAGACTCAGGAAGAGATTTGACGTATTAACTCTCTTTGGAAGAACTTCTGGTAAAGAACTATCTTGAAAATTGTTAGTAACTTATGTTCTATATTTTAATCCTAATAGGAGAAAATGTTAATATTTTATACATAGCAACATTATTTTCCCCTGAACTTGACATTAGAAACCACTTCTTTAACATGAACTATTTATCAAAATAGCTATCAAACTATTTATCAAAATCATGTTGCACACGGTCCATTATTTAATTTGTTTCAATATCCTATTGCTGGATTATAGGTTTTACTTTTTCCTATTTTAAATACTTCTCCATTAAACATTGTCATTTTGTGGGCCAGAGAGATAGTACAGTGGGTAGAGGGCATTTGCCTTGCACACGGCTAACCTGGGTTTGATCTCATATTATCACCCATATTATCCCTTGAGCCCACCAGGAGTGATCTCTGAGTGCAGAGCCAGGAGTAAGCCCTGAGTACCAAAAGGTGTAGCCCAGAAACCAAAACCAAATAAATATGTAATATCCTTAAATTCTTGGAAATGGAATGTGAAGTAACTGAATTAAGGACGTGAACTTTTTACTTTTATTAAAATAATGCTGGTTTACAGGGGTATAAATATACACAGATTTAGGGGTATAACTGCACATTCTTTGAAAAAATACCATATTCCTCTACTATACAGTTCAAGGGATTTCATGGAATGTTGGGAATCGAACCTGGGTTAGCTGCATGCAAAGAAAGCACCTTACCTTCTGAAATATCTCTCTGTCCTTTAACTTTCATAAGTATAAATTTATATGCATGGAGAGTATCTGTGCCTATTTTATAAAACTCTGGATTTTGACATCTCAGTTCCATCATTTTCATCTGTGTGGTCTTGAGTAAATTATCTAACATTTTGAGTTTTAGTTTCCTCAATTAAAAAATTGGGATAATGATAATGCCTATCTTATAAGGAAATCATAGAATTAAATGAGACTAATTTACATGTGTGTAACATTTAACACAAATACTTACCCACAAGGAATGTGAAATAACTGAATCAAGGATGTGAACTTTTTATTTTTATTTAAATAATGCTAGTTTACAGGGGTACAAATATAAAAGGTTAAATACTACCATTTTCTACTAAATTATGAAGATACGTTTTCCGAACAAAACACAATGACCTTAGAACTATCGTCCTAATAAAGAAAACATGTTTCAGTTTACTATCTTTATTTATGTATTTATTTTCTATTGAATCACCGTGAGACAGAGCATTACAAAGCTGTTCACGATTGGGTTTCAGTCATACAATGATCCAACACCCATCCCTCCACCAGTGCAATAGTTTACTATCTATTGTAATTATCCAGCATTTCATTACTGATAATACATTTAACTTACCTTTAGATGACAATCTTCAATCTTAGTAACTATTTAAAAATATTAGCTAATTAGTTCCTGCAGAGATTAGGTATTAGTTGAACGATCTTACATAAAGGTGGTGAAATTTTCTGATAGCAATTATGCTTTTGTCAGGAATGGTGGCCAGCTATGCTAGTTCACAATTCTCAGTATTATAAAGTCTGTTGTATACCTAAGTTAATTGCATACTTTAAAAAAATACTTACTGGTTTAGACACATTAGAAATAGAGCTCTGCGAAGATTTAGATTCAGAGTCAAGATTAAATATAGACAATGGAGTCGCTGGTCTTGATGCTGGGCTTTTGCTGTGTTGACTTGCAGACCTCATTAGATCAGTACCACCTATTTTTTAAAATTACACAATATAGTGAGTGCATTTCAATATAACTAATTTGACCAAAGTATGTCACTTTAAAACTAAGATAATACTGTACCTTGACTGAGTATCTCATTCTTTATTCCATTTGAAGATGAGCTGGGGTTACCCCTGTTTAAAATATCTAAAATATAGAATTATTTTTAAATGTGTTGCTTGAGGGAATATATAGTAAGATGAGAAAAAATATACGAAAATATATCCATACACAACCAATGATTCAAGTATATCCTTTCCTTGATAGTGACAACGTTATAAACAGACTCATGTTCCTGATTCAAAAATCAAGCTGTCCCCAAAATCCCATCTACATTCATATCCTGCAAAGTTTCATTATGGGTAAAACTGATTTGATTATCTAAACTTTTATTCTTTTGTTTGATAGTTTTGGGCTATACCTGCCAGTACTGCAGGCTACTGCCAGCAGTACATAGACCATGCAGTGCCAGCTCAATTTTATTCTTTAGATTCTGAAAAAATTACGGCATCAAAGACCATAGTCTAAAATTGAATCTCTAGTCCACCAGAAAATCTTAAATCCACTCACAATACCAATAACCAATTTTAGCCTAACATAAACATCTAGATCAATTCAAGTCTGCTCACTTTATACCCATGCGAACTCCTAACTTTTAGATTAAAGAACCAAATAAAAAATTTAATAGAGATTTGCCTAAAATCATTAATCAGGAAAAGGTATAAAACTTTTTAGAAAATTCCATAAAACTTGTGCAAAATACTGTTTACAAAAGCAAAAATGTGGAAATGTGCCCAAGAACAGATGACTGGTTAAAGAAACTTTGGTATATCTACACTATGGAATACTACGCAGCTGCTAGATAAGATGAAGTCATGAAATTTGCATATAAGTCGATCAACATGGAAAGTAGCAATTGAAATGAGTCAGAAAGAGAGGGATAGGCATAGAAAGATTGCACTCATCTGTGGAATATAAAGTAACAGAATGGAACACTAACACCCAAGAGTAGTACAGATAAGGACCAGGAGGTGTGCTCCACAGCTTGGAAAACCAGCCTCACACATGCTGGGGGAAAAGGCAGCTCAGATAGGGAAGGGAACACGAAGTAAAGGATGTTGGGAGGACCCATTCAGGTTGAAAGATGTGTGCCGAAAGTAGACTATAGACTGAACATGATGGCTGCTGAATACCTCTATTGCAAACCACAACACCCAAAAGGAGAGAGAGCGCGCAAAAGGGAATTCCCTGCCACAGAGGTGGAGCGGGGTGGTGGGGGATGGGGTGGAGGTGGTGGGAGGGATGCTGGGCCCATTGGTGGTGGAAAATGGGCACCGGTGAAGGGATGGGTACTTGACCATTGTATTATTGAAATGTAAGCACAAAAGTCTCTAAGTCTGTAACTGTAACTCACGGTGATTCACAAATAAAAAAAATTTTTAAAAACTTGTGTAAAACAGGGGCCAGAGCGATAGTACAGCAGGTAGGGCATTTGCCTTGCATGTGGCCGACTCGGGCTTGATCCCTGGCATCCCATATGGTCTCCCCAGCACTGTCAGGAGTAATTCCTGAGTGCAGAGCCAGGAGTAACCCCTGAGCATCACTGGTTGTAACCCAAAAAGCAAAAACAGATAAACAAACAAAAAAAAAACCTTGTGCAAAATAGGTATTTGATTTCGGGAGACCAAAAATAAAACCCCATAAAAGCTAAAATAATTCCTCTTTTCATTCCTAGCACCAAAGGGAAAAGATATATATTTATTATTATTTTACATATCTCATATATTTATCTTTTATTTTTTAAAAAAATAGTGGTTTTGCTCTTTGTGAAAATTAAAATACAGCATCAAGTACAACCTAAGTCTTCAAAGATCAAAAAATCTGTTAATTCATATATTGATATAGTTTTCACTCATACATTCAAGGCATTTGCCACACGCAGAAGAGCTCAGGAGTTATTCTGGTGCCAGAAAATGGCACCTCTGGCAGTGCTGGGTTAGGGGCTCACAATACGCGGTGCCAGAAATTCAAACTGGGATACATGGCAAGTACCTTAACCCATGTGCTAACCTTTTGACCCTTTAAGATATTAAAATCATTTAACACAAATATTTTGTTCCCTCCCTTTATGGTGACTGTACACACACACATATGTATCTATGTATGTATATATATTAGATATATATGTGTGTATGCATATGTGCATATATATACATATATTTAAATATTTATATGTATTTGAAACTCCATACATCAAAAATATTTTGTAATTCAAAATCAGTAAAATGATCTGAATTAATTAAAAGTACACTAGGCTTAAAAAAAAGTACACTAGGCTTAATTTTGTTTTGAGTAAAATTATTTACAATCTAATATATATATATTGTTCTAATTCAGCACAATTTTTTGGTTTATGAGCCAACAGTGCTCAGAGACTACTCAAGTCTAGTGCTCAGAAGTTGCTTCAAGCAGGGTTTGGGGAACTGCGTGGTGCCTGGGATTGATCCCAGGCCTCCTGCATGTTGAGCTATGCCTCCAGACCAGAAATTGAATGCTATTAAACTCCACTTGAATTGTCATGCTTTCAGTAAGACGATTTGAATAATTTTGAAATATGGCAATATTTAAGCACAAAACTAATCACAGGCACTAGGGAAACAAAAATAAGAACATAATATTCTTTACCACCATCAGCAATGAGCATGCCAACATGCCTTGTACATTTTATAACTGAATTAACACTCCATTAAGCATCTCTCAATTCGTTATAGGAAATGATGTTGAGAACTGAATTATTCTAGGCTTGCTCTTACCTCCAAATGCATCCAGATAATAGTGACATATTAAGATTATATTATACCTAATCACTAGACAAACCACTAGCTTCTTCCATTAGGAAGCTCTTATAAAACATTAACTCACTGAATTAAATGCTTACTTGAAATGGCTGGTTTTGAACTTAATATCTCTCCAACAAAAATCAGCTCATCATCATCATCTTCTTCTTCTACTTCTTCTTCTTCTTCCTCCTCTAGTTGTTGTTCCTGCATTTCTTCTACTTTTCTCTGCCATGGCTCCAGTTCCTCTTCTTCACATTCCATAAAGAGTTCTGCCATTCTGAAATTACCTAATTTTATAAGGAGAAAAGCAAGTCTCTATTTCTAAAGAAAACTTTTCCTGCAATACACAGCTTATTTAAATTATACTTTAATATTACTGTATTATAGTAATAATAGCAACTACTGTTATTACTAATATGTCCTAATAGTAATTAATGAATTGGTATCTGTAGAAGTAAAAGAAACCCAGTCCTCAATCTCTAAGATCTTAACTGGTAAAACCAAACTAGCTAACGCATGACAGCAGTTATTTATAGTGGCCAGTGAATCTTAGAAGATCAAATCCACTCATAGTGAGTTTCCATTTTAGGGCTAAAATATGATTGTATAACAAAAGGAAGATAAATTAAGAGTAAGAGGCGACAGGTGGGAGATACACACACACAAAAAAAAAACCGAACCAGATTCAGAGATACCAGGAACAGACGTGCAGGGATTTAGTACTTGTATGAAAAAGGGGAGTTATGTGAGGCTTATTACAGATCAAGGGCAAATAAAAGAATTCTCACCTTCAACAAACATAGAATCTGGGGCTGCCACCTGCCTACAGATATTGAACATGCACACAGCTTCTAGGAATTAGTGCTTCGTTTTTTTTTTTTTCATTTGGGATTTGGTTTTTTGTTTGGGGGAGGGGGGCAGACCAAACAGTGCTCAGGTGTTTAACAATTAGTTGCTCGTTTGGGAGCGAGGTGGGTACCCTGGTGGTACTCAGGGACCATGTAGTGCCAGGGGTCGAACCTGGGATCCTGAATGCAAAGCATATGCACCATCCCTTTGAGGTTATCTACGAGACTCTCATTTTTCTTTTCACTGAACAGAAAAATTTTCTTTCAAATAATTCAATAGTGATTTTATTAACTCAATATCCTTTCAGTAAATTCAATATTTACTGAGGTATTGTATGAAGCCTGGCTGGTTTCATAATATTTCAGGAAATAAGAGGGTTTTGTAAATGGATGACATGGGTTTGATTCTGGCATCACCTATGCTCCCCAGCCCTGACAGGAGTGATCCTGAGCACAGAGAACACAGCTGGGTATGACCTAAAACAAACACCCCCCACACACAGAATTTCTTTATGTTCTATGGGTCAAGGGCACATATTTTACATTCGGGCCCACACGGTCCCACGGGTACTGACCATTGTAAACAAAAGGTTACAGGTTTCAGGGTGGGTACTGAAATCTTTAGTAGTCAACAACTAAACAACTGCTGATCAACAACCTGTCCAGTCTACCATCACTGAAAATAGGGCTTTATACATAGACAGCTGGTCCAAGGTGAGACAAATTCAGGTTGAAACAGAGTCAACCAAAGCACTTTTGTTACCATGGAAACTAATTTTCCCAAATCTTAAAATTTAACTACATTCAATAGACTGATTACAAATGACACATAATTTGTGATTGGAGAACTTCAGAAATAAGAAGAGACATTGCACATTACTAAGTGAAAGAAGACAATCTAGACAAGTTATGTCCTGTGTGAATCTAACTCCACAACATTCTGGGAAAGAAAAGCTACAGAGAAAGTGAAGAGATCAGTGGCTAACCAGAGGGGTGGAAAGAGTGAAAAGGCAGAGAACAAATGATTTTTAGAGCAGTACAACTACTCTGAATAATACTCTAACGATGAATACACAACATACATTTTTCAAGCCCACAGAACATACAACAGTGAACAGCACTGTAAACTAGACACTTCTTTAATTGATGCATTGATATTACTTCATCAAGGGCACCTCACTAAAAGTGCCTCATTCTGAAATGTAGACGAATGAGTAAGCACCAGACTGAAACTAAAAATGTTATGACCGATGATGAGACTCAATACTAGAAACTAGCTGCATTTGTGAGGTCCTTGCCTTGATCCTCATACAACAAATAAAGCTGTGAAAAACAAAGGCAATATAAGATTAAATAATCTTAAGTAAAAATATTACAACGACCAGGGGGGAACACTGGAGACTGTGTTATCATTTTCAGAGACAAGATATTTTATAAAAAAGTAATACTCAGGGGTTGGAGAGCTAGTATAGCGGGCAGGCTGCCTACCTTGCATGCGGCTGACCCATGTTTGATCCCCAGTATCCCATATGGTCTCCTGAGAACCACCAGGATTAATTCCCAAGGGCAGAGCCAGGATTAACCACTGAGCATAACTGGGTGTGACCCAAAAATAAAAAGCAATATCCAGGGGCTGGAAATAGTAAAGAGGGTAAGGCATTTACCTCGCACACGGCTCACCAAGGTTCCCCTGAGCCCACCAGGAATGATTCCTGAGCTCAGAGGCAGGAATAAATCCTGAGCACACCCAGGTGTGGACCAAAAAACAAAAAATATAAAAAAAATCTGAAATTAAACCGTAAAAATCTAGATGGCCAGAGAGATAGTACAGCAGGTAAGGAACTTGCCTTACACGTGGCTGGCCCAGGTTCTATCCCTAGCACTACATATGAACCTCTGAGCTCCGCCAGGATTGATCCATAAGTACAGAGCCAGGAGTACATCCTGAGCATCACCAGGAATGCCCCACCCACCACCAAAAGAAAAGTGAAAACTACATGTGTATACTAGAGAACACAAGACTGCTAGAAAACCAATTTCAAAGGTAAAACCATGTAATGAAACTTCCAGCAATACAGGGAAAAGAGGAAACAATTATAGTAAACTATAATAAAAAGCCCCAGTTTGGAGCTGGTGAGATAGTATAAGAAGTAAGGCACTTGTCTTGCATGAAGCTGTGACTCTAGTTTGAATCCTCGAGACTAAATATGGTTCCCTGAGCACCATCAAGGGTCACTCCTGTGCAGAGCCAGTAACGGGCCCTGCAAACTGCCAGGTATGGTCCCAAAACAAAACAAAATTCCAATTTTAAAGAATATAAATCTCAAGATTGATATAGCCCACTGGGACCCTGCACAAAAAATTCTCAAAGATAAAAATAAAGGACATGGGCTGGAGCAATAGCACAGCAAGTAGGGCATTTGCCTTGCATGCGGCCGACCCGGGTTCAATTTTCAGCATCCCATATGGTCCCCCTAAGCACTGCCAGGGGTAATTCCTGAGTGCAGAGCCAGGAGTAAACCCTGTGCATCACCGGGTGTGACCCAAAAAGAAAAAAAAATTTAAAAAATAATAAAGGACATGATCAGGTAGGATAATCCTTACCTGTTTCTCTCTATTTAGAGGGCAGATAGAGAATGATGATTAGAGTTTGCATGATTCATGCGTGATTATGCCTGAAAACACACTAATTGCTCCTATCTGGTTCTTAATTTTTTAAAAAATGGATATAGGGTCCAGAGTGATTCCTGAGTGCAGAGTCAGCAATAACCCGAGTACTGCTTGGTGTGACTCAAAATAAAACAAAAATAATAAGTGAATAAAGGATGTAGACAGGCAAATCATGAGATTTAACAATATAACCAAATATTAGAAACAGATACACACACATACACAGAGAGAGAGACAGAGAGAGAAGAAAGCAGAACTAATGATCTCATCGAGGGTATTAGTAAAAATAGTTTTCAATGTATAATTCTATACCCAGCCATTTTTTTCCACTGAGCATAAGGTACATAGTCTTTATCAAGAATACAGACAAGGGGCTGGGGATGTGGTATAAGGGTTAGGCTTTGTATGCATAAGACCTTGACTTGATATCTGGCATTGAGAAGTGAAGTGCTGGTGGACTTCAAAATCCTCTGGAGTAATCATGAAGATCCTTGGCATAGCAGAACCCAAGAAGCACCACATCCTTGTGCTTTGACACTGAACTGTCCATCAGAGAAATGTAGTAGCCTGAGTCCTTTGAGGACAACCCCCCAGAGACAAGTGACATTATACAAAACTTACCTCCAATTCACTATTTCTTAGCAAGATTTGATGGATATACAAGACTTATAATGAGGAAGACACAGGCCACAAAAACATCACATTTAACGTAATACAAAGACAAAGGAAAGTCTCAGAGGACAACAGAAGTTCAAGATTTAGAGAGCAACCAGCAGGAGTAGAGCAGGAGAACATTACTCCCAAAAGAAATGTCTCCAAGAGACAACACACACACACACAGTCACTTACTCGTACACAGATTAAAAATTGTAAGATTACCTGGCAGGTATTACCATGTAGGAAATTGACTTAAGAGGCTGCAGAAGGGTGTGAGAAGACTTGGCTATAACGTTCAATAAATTAAGCAAGTTTTTTTAAAATACAATTTTAAACTGCTGTATAAAAGAGAAAAAAAGGAAATATATCCATAACATTAACACAACAATATTAAGTTTATTAGGGAACAGTTATCATAGTCTTCGAATTAAGATATAACCATACTGGGAGACACTTGGAGGGAGGCTAAATATAAGAAAACTCTTTTGCGGCACCATTGGTGGTATTGGTGGAAGTAATTTTCTACAGTAAGAGCATAAACATTATTGGAAAAAAATAGAAAACAATCTTATTCTAAGAGGAAAACTAAAAAAGGAAAATTTTTCTGGCAGGAAAAATTAAATAATGGCAAAAATGATTCAAGAGAGCAATATATGTGTTTTGAGATTTCATAATGTGAAAAGAAAAATTTTAGAATAACAGAATAATATTGAAAGTGAACGTTTGAAAAAAAAACTTGCCAACACATGAATATTTATCTTCTCCCACCTTTCTCTCCCACCCTTAAGACTGGATACACCTTTCTCTCCCACCCTTAAGACTATGATTGTGACTTGCAATTTAAAACATTGTCTTTATTTAAGATTTATCCTTTTCAAACTATGCATAGATTACTCAGATTTATAAAAAAGTTAGGGAAGACCTAAATTAAAATAATAGCAATGGAGGGGCTGGAGTGATAGCACAGCAGGTAGGGAGTTTGCCTTGCATGCGGTCAACCTGGGTTCAATTCCCAGCATGGTTCCCCAAACACTGCCAGGAATAATTCCTGAGTGCAGAGCCAGGAGTAACCTCTGTACATTGCTGGGTATGACCCAAAAAGAAAAAGAAAATTAATAGGAATTGGAAAGAATACAAGTGGTGCTGGATGTATGAAGTGAGATGTGAATAGAGGAACAACTGAAAAAAAAAAAAAGAACAGGGAGACAACCTCGAGGGCTATAGTGAACACCTTGCACCTTCACAGTGCCAAATTCAATCCCTGGTTTTACATGGCTGGAGCAGCACTGAGGTGGTCCTGCTGGCACCTACCACAAGAGGACCCAAGAAATATTACATTACTAGGTTGAAGCATTGGAACATCTGGTCCTGTTGTCCAAGTGCACCAGGTTCTGGAGCCTCCTGAATACTGCTTTGGGAGCCCAACCCCCAAATTTTTTAAAAAAGGTGATTCCAGGGTCCTAACTTATAAAATTATATCTTTTTTTCTGGAAAAAAATTATCTTTTAAATGCAGCTATTTCTAAAGATAATTTTACTAGATGAACATGTCATTTGTACATTTTTTTTATTTATTTTTATTTTTTTTCTTTTTTATTAGTGAAACACCATGAGGTACAGTTATAGGCTTACAAATTTTGTGCTTGGGTTTCAGTTATACAATGATCAAGTGCCCATCCCTCCACCGGTGCCCGTCATCCATCACCACAGGTCCCAGCATCCCCCCCACCCCGTCCCATCCTGTACATTTTATTCCAAGATTTAAAGGAACCATTTAGGGATGGGAGAGACAGTACTGCAAGTAGGGCATTTCCCTTGCACATGGCCAACCTGAGTTCAATCCCTGGCAGCCCATATGGTGCCCTGAGCACCACGAGTGACACCGGAGCACAGATCTAGAAGTTAGCCCTGAACACCTCCAGGTACGGCCCCCCAAACCAAAATAAAGGTACCAATGTAAAAAAATGATGGAGAGGGAATGACATACAAAATAAACACATTAAGAAATCGGTGCCATTATTTAATTTTTTTAGTTTAAGATCCTGTTTTATATAGGAACATAAAAATCATTTCTTGGCATAAAGTTGTCTAATGTTTAGTAGTCCACTTAGCATAAAACAAAACCGAAAAAAACCTTTCCATCCTCACAAATGTAACCAATTTTATTGACTAATGTCCTTCCTGTCTAAACTATATCTTTTAAAAATATAGAGAAAATGGAACTTGAGAGACAGTAGAGTGGGCAGAGCCCTGCCTTCAACTCAGCTGTGTTTGATTCACAACACCCTATTCGTTCTCCCCAGCAGAGCCAGGAGTCATTTCCATGCACAGACCCAAGAACTAAAGTAATCCTGGATGTGGACTCCAAACCAAGAAATAAAAATACAGGGTGCTCTAAGTCAAATAATTAAGTTTAATTTAAAACACCACCCTTATTATTTCCCTTGGAGTATTCTTTTTCCTTCTCCTTCAATCTATAAACATCTTCCCTTCCCTCCTTACCTTATACTGTCCACAATAAATATATTAGAAAGAATGTATATGATATTAAATTACCTATTTCAAATCTTCATTGTACCATTCCTAATCATAAGTTTCTTAAATCTATTTTTCACCTCGAATATTGATATATCAAATAGTACTGTAATTCAAGAAAATTATATATCAACTACTAGTATTCAACAAATTTTAATTCCCTGCCTCTTTCCAACTCTTAGTTCAATTACAACTTCCACAATAACACATTACATCATGTTTTTCTTCCTCCCCTTACTAGTCTATGCCATGTAATTTGACCTTTGTCATGTATGATCCCAAATGTCTATCACTTAATATGACATAACCAGATACAACTAACTCCAAAGCAAGTTCCTTGAGTCTGAATAACATACTTTCTTTTTCATTTCCTCCTAAACCCGTAGACTATTGTATATGTAATGGCACTTAAAATATGTTACTCTGCGAGCTAAGAAACTAGGAAGGGACAGGAATAAAATTTGTGGCAGAGTGTACGTCCTAGGTTTAATCTTAAGCTCTATAGCACTGCAGCACTGTCCTCCCATTGTTCATCGATTTGCTCAAGCGGACACCAGTAATGTCTCCATTGTGAGACTTGTTACTGTTTTTGGCATATCGAATATGGAGCTTGCCAGGAGCTTGCCAGGCTCTGCCATGTGGGCAGGATACTCTCGGTAGCTTGCCGGGCTCTCTGAGAGGGACAGAGGAATCCAACCTGGTCAGCTGTGTGCAAGGCAAATGCCCTACCCGCTGTGCTATCACTCCAGCCCCTTAAGCACTATAAAAACAAAAACCATCAAAAGCTAGGTAAAATTAGGCAATGTTAAATTTTACAATATTAGACTTATACCTTTAAATTTTCAGTCTAAAATTTCTTAAATTTAAAAAAAAATATTGGTGCCAGAGTGATAATACAGCAGGGAGGGTATTGGCCTTGCATGCAGCCAACCCAGGTTTGATTCCCGATCCCCAGCATCCAATATGATCCCCCAAGCACTGACAGGAGTAATTCCTGAGTATAGACTCAGGAGTAACCGCTGAGCATTTTTAAAAAGGTGTGACCTCCCTAAAAGAAATAGATTAGAGGTCGAAGAGATAGAACAATGGGTAAGGCATTTGCCTTGCACACAGCCAAACCGGGTTCAATCCCCAGCATCCCATATGGTCCACCTGTGCATTGTCAGGAGTAATTCCTGATTGCAGAGCCAAGAGTTAACCCCTGAGTATCACTAGGTATGAACCCAAAAAAAAACCCCAAAATAATAAATAAGAAATAGATTAATAATTTGTCACTTTCTTGTTTCCATGGTCTTAATACCACTTGACACATAGTTTTCCCTATTTTTAATATTGTTATGGGGAGGCAATCCAAGCAGTGCTCAGTTCCAACAGTGCATGGAGGCCATTAGGGACATTCCCAGCAATGCTTAGGAGGAGAGCCTGTAAGTGCTGAAGATGGATGGTCTCACACATGCTGGCCATGCAGATCTACAATTTGAGCTACAACCTCAGCTCCCCTCATTCTTTTTGTTTTGTTTGGGGGCCACACCTCGCAGTGCTCAGTACTTACATCTGACCCTGCACTCAGTGTTCGCTTCTGGAGACCATATGTGGTGCCCAATCAAACCTGGGTTGGCTGGATGCAAGGCAAGCACTTTACCTACTGTACTCCCTCTGGCTATTCTCATTCTTTTCTCTAATTCTTTTCAACTGGGTGCTTCCAGTGTTAGATATGTTCAGAGAAACTTTTTGAAAGGTACATAATAGTACATACAAGTATTATTATTATTTGCAGTGTACCAGTGAACAAACCCAGGGTCTCACATATGCAAAATACTCTCTCTACCACTGATCTACACCTCTGCCCTTAGGTGATCTTAGAAATAATTTTTGATCTATACATAGAAAAGTTTTTGATTATAAATATAGTACTGTCCTCCCATTGTTCGATTTGCTCAAGCGGGTACCAGTAATGTCTCTCAACAAATTGTGAGACTTTTTGTTACTGTTTTGGCATATAAAATACGTCACAGGTAGCTTGCCAGGCTTTACCGTGCGGGCGAGATACTCTCGGTAGCTTGTCGGGCTCTCCAAGAGGGGCGGAGCAATAGAATCCGGGTCAGTCACATGCAAGGCAAATGCCCTTACCACTGTGCTAGCACTCTAGCCCTATCTTAGAAATTTTGGTCTATGATAGAAGTTTTTGATTATATATACCAGGAAAAATAATAGTAGTTATCTACAGAGATGAGGAAGAAATGTCTTATTTCTACATTACTCTTTATAGTGTATTATTCTTTTTAACCTTAATAAACATTTTTATTTGGGGGCCACACCCAGCTGTGCTTAGGACTTATTCCTAGCTCTGCACTAAGGGGTCACTCCTACTCAGCTGGGTGCTGGGTATTGAACCCAGATCGGCCATGTACCAGGCACGTGCCTAACCCACTATACTAGCTTTCTAGCTTCTTAATAAACACTTTAATAAGGTGAAACTTCTTTTTTAATATTCCCATCTTTGTCTCTTTCACCTTTTCGCATAAAGCAAGATTTTCAGTACAAATGCCATGCATACATATATTGATTGTAATACTTACTTTTTGGCTGCAAAGGACTGCTGTCATCCATCAAGTTTCAGGATCACCTAAACACAAAATGAGATCAATTAATTTCAAAAGTCACTAAAATACACCAAATACTGAAACATGAAACTTGGAATTCATAAATCTTGAGACTACATCAATCTCTAACAAACTTACCATGTGATTTCAACACAGGAAGAAAATCAGGTATATTAGCTTTCAATTTACAAATGAAAATGTATACAACTGGTTGTTTACTAAGATTGAACTATGTTAAATCTAATCTAATTTTTTTTTTGCTTTTTGGGTCACCCCCGGCAATACACAGGGGTTACTCCTGGCTCTGCACTCAGGAATAACTCCTGGCGATGCTCAGGGGACCATATAGGATGCTGGGAATCAAACCTGGATTGGCCGCGTGCAAGGCAAACGCCTATCGCCCTACCCTGTGCTATCGCTTCAGACCCTAAATATAATCTAATTTTGTCCTCCTAAGCAAAGTTTATCTTTTGAGTTTGCCATGTTTGATCTATACATGCAACTCATTTTCCATCAGCAGTTATTCCTGAACGAAGGCAAACAGTAAATAAAATGTTGAATGTATCAGGTACTTGAAGAAATTAACGAAATTATTAAATTACCAATTTCAATCACTGCCTTTTATTCTCAAACTAATATGCTCAATTTTAGGAAAAAATAAGGTAATCTGTCTTGGCTTTTATGGTTTTGGACCCACACCTGGAGCAGTGTTCAGGGGCTACTCCCAGCTGGGTGCTTGGAATTGCAATGAGGCTTGCGAAGAAAGCCCTCCAGCCCACTGAGCTGATCTCTCTAGTCTGTAAACATTTTTGGCAGTACCAGGGATTGAACCCAGGACTTCACACATGCAGGGCAAGTGTGCTACTGCTGAAATACACCCTCAATTTTCAAATAAATATTTCAATTAAAAACAAAACAAGGATTTGTGATTTTGGAGCTAGTTCCAAGGTCTGGGGCACAGGCTATGCTTAGGGTGGTGCAGGTTTGATCCCCAGTACACCATGATTCCTTGAGGGCTACTGGGAGTCAGCTCTAAGCATCAAGCTGGGAGGAGCCTGCGAGCACCACAAAGTGTGGCTCAGAAGCTAAAACTAAAAGACAGGTACTTGCACTTTTCTTAAAGGTGTCTTGTGCCTTGCATGTGGCCGGCCCTGGTTCAATCGCCAGCATTCCATATGGTCCCTTGAACACTGCCGGGAGTAATTCCTGAGTGCAGAGACAGGGGTAACTCCCATCACTGACCCAAAAAACAAACAACCCCTCCCTGAAAAAACCCTATTCCAATCGCTTTCTCTCAATAATTTGAAAAGTTATCACTTGACCTAAATATAATCAGGGCTTTGTATGTCAAATACATGACAAATGATGCTCAGAATTAAGAATCTATTGCTACCAGGGATAGACCCATATTACGGCAGGCAGATGCTATGGATAGACCCATAGTACAGCCGGCAGAACGACTGCCTTGCATGCAGCCGACCCAGGTTCTATCCTTAGCATCCCATATGATCCCTAAGGCCTATCGGGAATAATTCTTCAGTGCTGAGCCAGGAGTAATTCCGGAGCACAGCTGGGTGTGCCCCACCCCCCAAAAAAGACAACAATAAAAGAGCTACAACTGAATAATCTAGAACTTACCTAAAACACTTTAATTAAGTGGTTATATAAACTGTCTGTTGGCACAAACAACTAACATTAGTACTTATTATAAAAACTATTACCATGAAAAAACTCTCAAATCCTTGCTTCAGAGTTTTGGTGGTAGGGAAAGAAACTTTATGGGAGATTGTCATGTGTCAGAGAAATGTACTGCATATCCAGCAAAGACGTGGAGAGATTCCTACAATGTCAGTTTCAGAAGTTCTCTTAGTTCTGCAACTGGAGATCCATGGAAGAACAAACTTGCTACCCCAGCTACTGACCCAGGTAAGAGACACTATGTCTATTTTAACATACTGTTGCCAAGCAGAAAAAATAGTTCCAAGTAATTGAGTGTAAATTAATTTTTGGAGGGCTATGGAGATGGCTCAAAGGACTGTGTCTAATGCCAATTGTCCAGCGAAGGTTGGCTGAAGAGACAGGCACACACTATCAGGGTTGCCTGGACAGTCTTGAGCAGAATACACAGGCTAGTCATTTATTCAATACAGTATTCTTCCCCCACCACTGGACCCAACACCTGACTTCTTGTTTAAGTTGCCAGAAAGAACAATTAGTAAGCACATCAAAATTCAATGGGTACATTAAGAACAGAGACTTTAAAGCACCCTTAAAGTTTAGAGTAAGGTCATGACACTTCACTATTATATTTTAGCCCATGTTGTCCTTTACACCTAGAAAACTCTATCCTGAGTACATTTCTGGTGCCCATTTCTTTTCTTTCTTTTTTATATGTATTTTTGGGGGTGTGCCCACACACGGCTGTATTCAGAGCCTACTTTGGCTCTGCATTCAAGGGTAATTCCTGGTGGTGCTTGAATAACCATACAAGATGCCAGGGATAGAACCCAGGTCAATTGTGTAAGGCAAACATCCTACCCACTATACTATTACTCTGGCCCCACCCAGTCCTTTCCTTTTTTTTGCTTGTGTAAAAAAACCAAAGAAGATTTTATTGTATATTTAAGTAAATATAAAGACTTTAGAATAAAAGTAATGTATTTTTCGGGTAAACATTATATACAATCAGGATAATTTAGACTGCATTTTGCAATATATATGTATATAAAATATATATATATATATATCACGTACCAAATAGTTCACTTATGACTTCTTTCATTCTTTCTAAAACTCAAAATATCCTTTTCTTCCTTGTTGGACTCCCACACAATGCTCAGGAAGCCTGGAGGTTCCTTCACAGTGAGTCTCAGCCAGTGAGTCTCAGTAGTTCAATGCAAGAAAGAGTCCAAAGAATTGCTGCTACTCAGTCCTGGGAGTTCTGGAATTATCCAGGTCCCCTAGTAGCTCAGGGCCTCAAAAGCCAGACCTGGTGATGCCTGGAGGACTATGCGGTGCCAGAGACTGAGACAAGGTCAGCTGCATGCAAGGCATGCACTTAAACCCCTGTACAATTTCTCTGTGGGATGGGGCAATATAATAATATTTACTTTCTGAGAAGTAACCTTTTTCTTCTTCTAAGGGGCCACACATGGTAGTGCTCAAGGCCTACTACCAACTCAGTACTGGAGTTGGTGGTAGTTTTGGCGAAAGAACCAGGACTCCTACCTATCTCTCCAGTCTTCTGAACTGGTAACGATTACATACGAAGATTACGATACATGGGATGGAAAGAAGTACAGCAGGTAGGGTGCTTGCCTTGCATACTGTTGATTTGGATTTGATCCCGGGCAACTCACATGGTCCCATGAGCCTAACAACTAGGAATAATTCCTGAGTATAGAGCGAGGAATAACCCCTGAGCACCACCAGGTGTGGCTCAAAAACCAAAAACAAAGAGAATGCGCTTTGGGTTAGGTAGATAGATCAAAGTGCCAGTGAGCATACCTTGCATGCTCCCAGTTCGATCACTGGCACCACATGCCCTCCCAAGCACTGCTAGGTTGTAGCTCTGGCGGACGCTAGCATCAATGAGAAGACAAAACAAAATGAGGAGAGATAGCACAAAGAACTGGAACACATGTTCTGCATATGGAGATCCAATTTCTATCCCCAACTCTGGTCAATCCCGAGTAATACCAGGAGAAAACCCTGAGCACCCTGCTGGGAATATACACCGAATCACTGACAAAGTGTGCCCCCACCAAACAAAATGAAGATATGTAGGACCCCAGGCTTAATCCTCAGCACTACATGCTCCCCTGAACACAACTGTGTGTTGCCCAAAAACAACCCCAAAAGAAAGGCTTAAAAAATCCTTACTGAAACACCAAACAAATCCAGAAGGTTGGGCTGCTATTATATATGAATTGTAACTTTTTTTTCTTTTGAGTCACACCTAGTGATGCTCAGGGATAGTTATTCCTGGCTCTGCACTCAGGAATCACTCCTGGAGGTGCTCAGGGGATCGTATGGGATGCTGAATTGAACCCAGGTTGGCTGCATGCAAGGCAAACCCTACCTGCTGAACCTACCTTCAGCCTACCTCCAACCTACCTCAGCCTTCCTGCTGAACCTACCTCAACCCTACCTCCAGCCCCCTGAATTATAATTTTTGATTGAAAAATATCTTTTCGAAGGTTTGGCAGATAGGGTGTCGAGACTTTTGAGCTAGTTCATTATCTGCATGCTTGATATCCAAGTTTGGTCCCCAGCACCATATGCTACTGGACTGGGAGTGACCCCTGAGCACTACACTGGGAAGAGTCCCTGAGCACAAGTGCGGTCCAATACCCCCTCATCAGAAAAGGCAACAAACCAAAGAATATGCTTTAATTATAATTTATGTATGTAAAACGTGACCTGAAACAAATCTACTGCATAACAGGCCAAAGTTTATCCATATAATCTTTTGTATTATAAGCTGTTATCATGATGATCACGACCATCCTGTTGTTCGTCGATTGCCTCGAGCAGGCCCCTTCGTCCTAGCCCTGAGATTTTTTTAAAAAGTGCCATATTAAAAGCTCTTCCAGGGTTAGGAGAATGAGACCCATCATTGTTACTGGTATTTGGCATATTGGATACACCACGGGGAGTTTGCCAGACTCTGCCGTATAAGCTGTTGTATAATCACTAATTCCTAAAGTCACTTAGGAAATACATACCATGCTTTATAAGCATTAAGCTTACCCACTATGGATGTCAATAACAGAGAAATCCGATAGGAACACCAGATATAAAGGTTAAATGAATAGGAATTAAAATCCTATAACTTTCTAGTTCTGAAAACTGCAAGATCAACATCCTTGAGTTTTTAGTTTTTCTACATGTAATGTTTTCCTTGAGGCACAATCTGAAATAAATGACATGGAAACTTACTGTTCAGTATTTTTGCATTAGTTCAATCCATTTTCCTTTTATGGATAGTTTTTCCTTTCAGTATTCTGTATAATAAGTATTC